GTTGAGGGCTACCCCACCCTCAAGGTCTTCCGTGGCCCCGACAACGTCTCTCCCTACTCCGGCCAGCGCAAGGCTGCTGCCATCACCTCCTACATGGTGAAGCAGTCCCTGCCCGCCGTCTCCATCCTCACCAAGGACACCCTTGAGGAGTTCAAGACCGCCGACAAGGTCGTTCTCGTCGCCTACATCGACGCCGCTGACAAGGCCTCCAACGAGACCTTCACCAAGGTCGCCGAGAAGCTCCGCGACACCTACCTCTTCGGTGGCGTCAACGACGCCGCTGTTGCTGAGGCTGAGGGCATCAAGGCCCCTGCCATTGTCCTCTACAAGTCTTTCGATGAGGGCAAGGCCACCTTCACTGAGAAGTTTGACGCTGAGGCCATTGAGACCTTCGCCCAGACCGCCGCCACTCCCTTGATCGGCGAGGTCGGCCCCGAGACCTACTCCGGCTACATGTCCGCTGGCCTTCCCCTCGCCTACATCTTCGCCGAGACCCCCGAGGAGCGTGAGGAGCTTGGCGCCGCCCTGAAGCCCATCGCTGAGAAGTACCGCGGCAAGATCAACTTCGCTACCATCGACGCCAAGGCGTTCGGTGCTCACGCCGGCAACCTCAACCTCGCCACCGACAAGTTCCCCTCTTTCGCCATCCAGGAGACCGTCAAGAACCAGAAGTTCCCCTTTGACCAGGAGAAGAAGATCACCCACGATGACATCGCCAAGTTCGTTGAGGATTTCTCTTCCGGCAAGATGGAGCCCAGCATCAAGTCCGAGCCCATCCCTGAGTCCAACGACGGCCCCGTTACTGTTGTCGTTGCCAAGAACTACGAGCAGGTTGTCCTTGATGACAAGAAGGATGTCCTGATTGAGTTCTACGCCCCCTGGTGCGGTCACTGCAAGGCTCTGGCCCCCAAGTACGAGGAGCTCGGTGAGCTGTACCAGAAGTCTGAGTTCAAGGACAAGGTTGTCATCGCCAAGGTTGACGCTACCGCCAACGACGTTCCCGATGAGATTCAGGGCTTCCCCACCATTAAGCTCTACCCCGCAGGCAACAAGGATGCCGCCGTCACCTACTCCGGCTCCCGCTCCATCGAGGACCTGATCGAGTTCGTCAAGGAGAACGGCAAGTACAAGGCCGAGGTCTCCGTCAAGGAGGAGGGCGCCGAGGAGAGCCAGGCCGCCCCTGCTGCCACCGAGAAGGAGGCTGAGAAGGCCAAGGAGACCGAGAAGGCTAAGGAGGATGCTCACGACGAGTTGTAAAAGAATTCTGGGTTCACTATGAAATGACACTTTGGGACGTCCCATGGGATAGGGACTATATACCTCTTGCGCGTTAGGTCGACTCTTTGCATTATGGTCTGCGGGTAAATCAACGTTATGAAATTCGAGCACATATCTTAACCTCCTCTTCACTGCGCGAACCGTGACCTGAAGCCTTAATACTCTCTACTCGATTTGTTGACGTTCGGTGAATTAATCTGTCGGCTATTGACTTGGACTGGAGGACCACAGAGCAACATGACCCAAGACCGAGAGCCGCGCATGACACAGACTTGACACTTGCTGAAAGGTAGTCTTAGTACCAAGAATTCCGCCCCACGCCTTGGATGTCCTGGTTTACAGGCTCACCAGTATAGCCGCCTTTCACGCCGCAACTTCCAATGATGCCTTACCCCTGGCCTTATAAGAAATCTCAATTTTGCAAGACCTTATCGTTCTTTCCGGTTGCATTCAGAAGTACCCTTCTGAAAACTTGCCCTATCAATGGCGGCAGTAAAATTGACAGCCATTGATGATTCAGGTGATAGCTGTCGCTAAGAGGCAGTGCTTCATTGTAAAAGGGCACTGGCTCCACTGGGCTTCCTCGCCCTTTGCTCGTCAGTGTGTTGAAGCGTGGACTTTGAGATTGATTGACAGTAGGTAGGATGGCGAAATGGAGACTTGAGCCATGATGAGGCATACTGCTACCAAAGGTCATCCGTGTGCCAGTATTTCATCCTGGTTCGTGGTGAAACATCACAAGAGCTTCCGGAGACAGGAAATGGCGTATGCCTTGGACAGTTGAAGTGACGTTCTCGCTACGCCTTTTTCTTCTTCCTTTGTTCTTACAAGCTACGTCGGAGCCGTGTGGCCTAGATATAAAGCGGCAGCGGCTCTTGGAAGAGGTGCGGCTTGAGTGTCGTACATACTATGATGTTTTCATAACGTCAATCTGTAGCTCATCGAATCGATGTGTGTTATCCTTTCGAATATTCAATGTGATGCGCATGTATTCTCAGTATGGATATGTTTGGCAGACTGGGAACTACATGAGAAGGTTTTCTTGCCCCTCTTGGCTTTTATCTTTGGTATGCTTACAAGTTGGGAGAAGCTGATCACACTCATCGCCATCTTTTTGGTTATGCTCAGTACTTACTTCTACAGATTGTAGAGTCAGGCAGAGGGACACGGTGATATCGATTGTTGAGGATTCTCTGCGTGTACTTTATGAGAGCGCTTCAAGTCGCATTTGCTTCGGTAGTCATTTCATCAGCAAACCTAGGAAACCTAAACGTCAAGAGGATACAAGAGCAGGGTAGGAATGACTGAAATTACAACGTCTACCTGTCGCACCCAAGTGACGGTATATTAAACCCCTAAGTACTAGTTCACGAGGTCTTGCTGAGGTATCAAAGACAACAGCTCGCGTAGTACAGATTGATCCGACAAACGGTACCATGAATTCAAAAACTAGGAACCATCGCCTATAAGTGGAATGGGTTAAAGGACGCTCCTGATGAACTCTAGGGACCAAATTTGGTAGGAACAGGTCTGTCTCTTCCACCCTTCCGCCCCCCTTCTTGTAGCGAGGTGATACCTTTACAGCATGTTTTGGGCCCTGCCGTGGCCTTGATGCAAGTTCTTATCAAGAAATACTTCTACTTGTTTACAATCTATATGCTCACGAACACCAATTCACGTCAATATGCGAGTGGCGCAAGTTCGATAAGAGATGGCAGGTTGAGTAAAGAACCCTGTTCATCACTATGGGGACATTGAAGTCGATTCCAGAGAAGAAGAAGGAAAGAAGACGAAGATTGGGAACTCAACCTGGGAAACTTGAGGTTCTTGAAACTTGTTTATCGTAGTTACCTGACGGAGGGCAGCTTGGACACACTGCGTCAGAGCTTTTCATCCGAAGGCGGCAGACTTGAAGAGATGAACTATTGACATCTTGAAAGCTCGCTCCTTACAAGGGCCAACCTGAGATTCCCGGCTGTCGTAAGCTCTAGTGGCTGACTCGATCGTGCATCGAGCTTCAGCGAGCGGCTCAGTGAAGACATTGCGGACTGTAGAGAGGTCAATTTTAGGGGGGAGGGGGGGGGGATGGGATGTCTACCTTTGAAGAACGAACAATGGCAAAGAAAACACACTAAGACACGGACTTGCAGGAACTCCCGCGCCGTACAAGCATATTGTTACAGTCTTGATATACAATCTCGGCTTCCACAACACGTTGCATAAAACCATACCGATGAATCGAAAAGAACCTCACGAAAGAGAAGAAGAATCGGACACTTGTTTGGAAAATTTCCGGTCGTAACCATTGTGCTGTGCTGCTTTTTTGTGCTGTTTTCGCCTCGAAAAACCTCACCGTCCATTACCACGGCGTCCCCCTCGGCATTTCGTCGCCTTGTTACACTCACATCCTCCTTCCTTCTCCCTTTTCAACGTTGCGACTCTCTTGTTTACTTCCTCTTGCGCTCGATGGCGTCCATCTTCTCTTCCAATACTTCGACGTACTTGGTCACGCGCTGGACAGCGGCCTGGAGTGCCTGTAGTAACACGGTCTGGTTAGCTCATTGGATATTCGTGGAGGGTCTGTGGCGGTGATGATTGGTTTTGCTGGGATATTGAATTCAGAGAGCAGGAGAAGCGAGGATGGTCGCGCCCCGTTGTAGCGAGACAGCGCCGGGGAGCGTTCCGGTGCAGCGCACAAGACGCAAACAACACCACGCCCTGAATCACTCATGGATGTGGGAGAGACCAGGGTGATGGACGCGGAAGGCCTCGAGGGGCAGGCATGAACGTAAATAATGAGATGCAATGACGCACGTAAATGTCCTCTGTCAGGAGCTCGTTGGAGGTCTTGTATTCTTGGAGGATGTAGGAGTAGACACCTGCGCCGGCGAGGGAGCTGCCGAGGAAGAAGCCAAACAGACTGTCCGAGGTTTGATTTGTTAGCGAATGTTTCATCATCTCTATTTGAGTAGACGTGGACTGGTGGCCAGCATCCCAAAGCCCTCACGGGACCCAATTGGCTCCATGGACTAGATGCAGGACAGCTGCCCTCGGGGTAAAGAAGAAGCTCAAGACGTACCCTCCACGGAATGCACCGACGGGTTTCCGGGTTGGCAGGGGGGCGGCGACGGCGTCGCGCAGAGGCGAGGAGGTCTGGAAGTTACGGGCGGCGCGGAGAGGGAGGCCGGAGGCGCGGGGGAGGGCGCGGGTGACGATGCGGGAGGCCATTGTGGTTTTCGGGTGATGTCGTGCGTTGGAGCTCGGTTAGAGAGGGAGGATGGATGCTCTGTCGGCGGGAGGAATGGAAGGCGACCCGATCGGAATTGGACGCGGAGTGTGAGAATGAGAAGGAGGGGAAGCTCGGTCGGCTTGCGTGCTGGTGATGTTGTGTTTTGTGGTGGTGGTAGAAGTAATGGGGTTTGGAGATGGCGTAGACCAGGTTCGATGAGGTCGGTCGGGTCGGTGCTCTGGGGGCGAGGTACGGTTAACTTGGGCGGGAACCTGGAAGCTCTGTCCCAGCCGTGTTACGTCGTTTCCTTCTCTCTGCGGCGGCGCTGCGGCGCTGCACGGCTACAGTGAGGTAGGTACCTCAGTCAGGTACCGCCTCCGCCTGCGCCGGACCAGCGAGATCAGAGAGGGCGGGATTAGCCGGGACGCCATTGGCGGCATCCTATTGGCCAGAATAGGGCGGTCGACCAGCCGGCTTTTGCTGGGGATTGTCTGGGACTCTGGGGAGTGGCTTCATGATCCACTGAAGGGGGTTCGGGAATGCGGCTCATGGGCGCATTCGGCACTTGTCGGCTTCTAAGCATACGGAAACTTGTCACGGCGTCAGGATTCTTTTGAAAGTTGACGGAACTGTTGATCTGTTGTTACCTTCATCAAGTATTTGAATGTCAATTGCTTGAATGTAAGGTAAGTAAAGTATTTAGTTACCGAGGTCTTAACCTACAACCTGGGGAAGCTCTCTGCTAGGTGCTCGTCTGTAACCAACACACTCTCATTGGCCAATAATCAGCCACTCAACGTCGTCTCTTCTGATTCGCTACAAAAAAGTTCAAGCTCAGAGACTCCAGAACCCAGAGAGCTCCCAGACGAACCACCACACTCCTCCACACTCTCTACAAAAACCCTGCCGCAACATCTCCAACCTCGAAATGAACAATTTTGGCGTCTACGAGCTCGCCAGCAGCAAAGTCACAAACGCCCCGGGATGGGCTTACGTCCCCGACACGGGCCTCAACCCGGCCGCCGCCGCCCTCCAGCCCGCGAACCGCAAGCGCGCCGCTCGAAGCAAGGCGAACCCAACCGCCTCAGATCTCACCGTCCGCCAGGAAGCCAAGATCCGCAAGGAACTTGAGCAGCTGGACCGCGACGGTGGCCGTGATGCCTCGATACCCATCCCAGCCAAGGCTTCACGAGGTACGCTAGCTCCCATCACCCCGTGCCTCCCAATACGCTGTGGAGAGCGGACTCAGTGAAGCGCAATGCGACAGGCAAACTAACGACGATTTGATGGAATCACAGGCCAGAACAAGAGCACGCCAGCGATTCGCAAAATCCTCCAATCCCAAAAAACCTTCCACAACCACTGCGACGACCACCTCGCCCTCCTCTCCCACGCCGGAAACACGCCCGCGCCGCACCCGAACCAGCACACAGCCAAGCCGGCCAACAAACCGCCCCATCCGAACCAGCACACCAAGCGCAACGCCGCCAAGCGCTCCAAGACATCGACACCCAAGACACCAGCCGAACCAGAAGACGTCGAGATGACGCCCGCGCCGTCAGCAGAAGCGCCAGAGGACTCCGCGTCGGCAGCAGGCCCGGTGCTGACGCCCTACGATAAACCGGGACCCGCGCCGCATCCCGGCGACGACAATCCGCTGCTCGTATCGCGGGTGCCTGCGATGCCGACGGACGAGGAGCTCAAGTGGTTGCTCTCGCGGCCGATGTTGAGTTTCTGGGACGCGAGGGCCGAGTGGGGCGACGACGATACGCGGTATCCGGAGCGGAGTTTCTGCGAGGTGTGTGGGTATTGGGGCCGGGTGAAGTGTATGAAGTGCGGGACGAGGGTTTGCGCTTTGGATTGTCTTGAGACGCATCGGGAGGAGTGTTTTACGAGGTACGGTATTTGAGAGGTTGAGAGGTTTCTGGCTTTTGGCAAAGTTTGCTGGAGCACACGTCATTGTGGTTGATATTGAGATTGCGTTTGGATACGGGATAAGCATGGACTGTGAATGGTCAGGAGTTATGATACCCCCCTTTTGTCTAGTTTATTTGGTAAGGATGGAAAAAAGTGATTTGAATTGGATGGCTTTGATCGCCAACGGGTCTGGATTCAAGACAAAGATCCCCTATGAGGAATTTGTACAGATGCGGATGTTTCTTACAAGCGCGGAGTGTATATATACTGTTGAAGATGTTGCCCTTGAAAGAGGGCAGACAAACTCCTATCCCAAGACCCTTTTCATCAAAATCATGAAGCCACAGAAGATGCCTGTAGCAAGAAAGAAAAAAAACGAGGTGTACCTATCAACTGATATGAACAACCTCTGTGAGAAGAAAGTAAGACGAAAAAGAGAGCGAGAGAGAGAGAGAGAGAACACATCAGACACGACCAAACATCCCCTCATCCACCACCCAGAACAACGCAAAGTTGAAGCACGCATTTGAGTTTTCTTCACAAGTCGTCCATGCTAAACGAGTTCTTGAGCGTAAACTCCACGTCGCCGACCGTCGCGCCGCCGGCGCAGACGGCGCGGAGGCTGCCGGTGGGGCACTTGTCGCGTGCGGCGCGGACGCACTGCTCCCACTTGGTCTTTGAGATGGTGATCTGCGCGCCCTCGACGGTGGTCTTAAGGGCGAAGCGGGCGGATCCGGCTTGGCCTACGGTGGTGGAGGGGTTTCCGTGACAGGCGTCGACGGAGCCGGAGATGCCGCCGCAGATGGCGAGTTCTGCTGCGTTTTGGTCGTGGAAGACGATGTGGCTGATATTCGTGTTAGTTGGTGTCTTTTCATGAGATTCGAGATTTGATAGGAGATGGGTGTTTGATGTGTTTTTGGTGGAACAGAGAGGATAGGATGTAGTGGAGAGGGTTTATTGTGGAAGTCAAGTGGAAGGGAAACGTACGCGTTGCGGTCGATGCAGGTGGCTTCCACCATGGCGGCCGGGTTCACGGGCTCCTGCATGCGCATGCTGAGGACCTCAAAGTGCTGCTGGGGCACGGTGAAGCGGGGCCAGTTGTGTCTTCCGGCCGGGGCGGCGAGGGCCGCGGTGGCTGTGAGGAGGAGGAGGACAAAGGTCTGGATGAGCGTGGAGAACATGATTGCGATTGTTGGGTGTGAGAGAGGTTTTGGTGTAAGTGAAAGTCTGAGGTCTTGATAGCTTTCAGTCGTGGATATGTGATGACTGGAAGAAGGATTCCGTTTCGGGAAGTTCGTTTTGTTTGAGGGATGAGTAGATCGATGCTTTGAATGTTGAGAGTGACCTTTGGCGTAGTGTTGGCGAGTCGATCGTGAGATATCTCGATGGGGTTTGCAAGGTTTGGTTGTTGGTCGTCGAGACGAGGTTTTGGGTTTAGAACGGAGCGAAGAGGGCTTCTTGGAAGAAAGAATGGAACAGATCACAGATCATCAAAGGTTGAAGAAAAAGAAGGAAAGTGACTGTCAACGGACTGTCTGGATTGTTTCTTTCGAAAAGAATGTGGAAAGAGAAACAAGTTTCGAACAATTCAAGCTGAAGGAGAGGTAGAAGTAGGAAAGAGTAGGCAGGACGGACAAGCCACTAAGTAGGTTTCGCAAGCCTCCATATTCACAATGGAACCAAAAATCCTTTTCCCGCGCACACCTTAACTTTGGGCTGTGAGCTATTACTAGGTTGCATCCGTAAGGTATTACTTCTGTAAACTTCCTCACTTTCACTTGCACCACCCCCTGGACCCTGGACCCCCAGTCTTTTGCAAATCCAAGAGCCGGCTTCCCCATGTCGCAATGAAGAGCGAGGGTCCAGGGGGGGAGGGGTGGCGCGAAACTTGGCTGACTGTATCCGCAAGAAATGACCCTGAACTTGGTAACCGCCTCTGAAAGTACGTAGTATGGAGCTCTGAGCCCCATTTCAATATGGATCCCTGACTTCTCCTTCCCATTATCGAAAGGCAGGAAGTGAGGGACGCGGGCTGCGGGACGCGGAACCAGACGTTTGTCACGTTTGTGCGTTGCGTACGTTGCTTGCGTTGCGAGGACTGCGTTGCGTGCTTTCGTCTCTCCATAGCCACAGGTTCTCCTCTTTCCTGGTGCCGGCCCGGTGAGGTGGGTGAAACTGGGGGGGGGGGGGGGCTTTCTACTACGCAGAGAGTACCGCGCCGGGATCGCTTCTGTGTCTTTGCAGATATGGTCCGCCTTGCCGCTTGCTCGAATACTTGCTCACCGTAGAGTCGAGACTCGAGACTCGAGATCGTCCAAGCAGACATTGTATTGTATGTGGCAGTTCCTCGACCTCGGTGGATGTAGCACAGCTTCAAGGTCCGCCACGTTCTGGTACCTGAAGGCTGACGGGGGACTAACGCTGTCGTCTGAAGACGGGAGGGGTTGTTCCCTACTAACCTTAGTATCATTAGAGTAGGTGTCACTAAAAGTAAAGCCTGTGTTTAGAGTCTGCCAAGAGCCAGAATGGCTGTGTGAACGGATGAAACCAATGCCTCTTTTTCTCTCTCTCTCTCTCTCTCTCCTGGCTAGGCATTTCTTAGTCAGTCGGCCTCTACTATGGCGCTCTCTTCCTCTCGCAAAAGTGTTGTGGCCAGATGTCCAGGACATGGGGCGTCGTTCCCGCCCTCGGATCGCCGGTTCGCTGTTTAGGACCGCCGCTGGCCGCATGAGATTCGATACTGGGCGAGTTTGCAAGGGTAGCACTACATATTGACTACTGTTCGTGCAGTCAGGTACGGGAGGAGGGGGGGGGAGGGGAGCGTTCCATCGGATAAAGCCAAGCATCGTCATTCCATCATGCCTTGCCAGCCAACTATGGGACGGTGATGGACGCAGCCGAAGGGATGATCGGACACTGGTCTGCAGCGTAAAGAGTTGTAAACGCGGGAGCACAGAAGGTAAGGTGGTAGTCAAAGTCCCCCCTGAAGAGCAGAAAAAACCCCAAAAGGATGGGATCTCTTGAAGGAACAAGTTTCGGTGATCACTTGGCCGTCCAATCGACACGGCGGCGGTCATCCGGAGTCGCAAGGTGAAACGGGGCCAGCGGCGGCCCAGCGCTGAATGTAGGCCACCAGCCACGCCCCCTCCAAAACGGCAGGCGACCTTGGCTTATTCGTGCGGTAGCGGTTGTCGGTAAGGTACGGATACTCTCTCGCAAACTGCTGCAACTTGCGGGCAACGGTAGTCCTTTTCGGCCCAGGCGATAGGTGCCCATTTTAAGCCTTCTGAAACTCGACCGGTGGGGTCCCCTATCCCGGTATTCCCGCGTCTCTCCACGGCTGGCGCGACTTTGGGGGGAGGGATGAGCGGCGAATACCACCTACCACAGTCGTGCAGTTGCCCCGGACTCGCCTCCCTTTTCTGGAGTGCATCTTTGGTGGTGGACGGTGGACGATAGGCTGAGGATGTCTTTCCCTTCTGCAGAATGAGAGCTTCAAAAGCGCTTGTCTGCACTTCTGCAGGATGGAGAAGGCAACAGACGCGGGGTGTTCGATGATGATGATAGGGTTGCTTGCACTGCAAAAGGCCAGCCGGAGCTTAAGCTCAGCCAGAGGTTGGGTACCGCTTGCTTCTCTTTTCGTCTCAACTATCTTGATAAACTGCTGCCGGTCAATAGGATGCGCAGCGATATAGAAGATCCCCGAGAATAGCCACAGAGTGCAATTCATTTCTAACCACCCCGCTGCTGCTACTGCTGGTACTAAGGTAGATAGTGGTCTTGGGTCTTTGGTTCTTCATGCTATTGCACTATTGATCAGTCATCTATGTATCTCGTTGTTTATCAGATACTCTGGCGAGTTTGCCCAGACTTTGGGTCCGTTAACCATATTTCTTTGTCCTTCCTTCTTCGGACTCCTCGAAATCTCCAGTCCAGGTCCTTTTCCCAGGTGCCGAGTAAGCGAGGCTCCGCGTCTTCCCTTGGCTCTGGCGATCCCCGAGCTGATGATGACATTTCGACGACGCATTCTGCTCGACGGGCCTAAATTCGCGGATACATACCTGAGATGCCCGCCGCGCGACCCCGTGACCTGTCTTGAATCGCCAACTTCCACGGAAGGAATGCGATAGGTGTAATTCTGTCCGTACATAGAGTCTTCATAGACGAAGCCGTGGTTCATGACCAACTGCCCACATCAAAAGGTCCCCCTGGCCCCATCGATCGGCTGTCCGCCTTGCCTGGCCTGCTCTTTCTCCATGTTTCGTCCTTATTATGCCCCCCCTTTCCCTGGCGCCGACCTTTGTGGCCGAGGGGGGATCCCATGCTGAGCTTGTCCGTGGCAAGCGTGGGACTGTAATGGCTTGACTCTTTGGACGAACCCACCAGCAAAACTTTACTTGACAACTTGACATATCAGTCTTAAATGAATAAGAGCCATTTTCGTAAATTGCGTACGAGTTGTGTGTATAAGCCTGCTTGCCCTTTTTCGCGCAGGGAAATGCGCAAGGGAAAAAGTTTCCTAGAATAACTGTCCGTTCCTGGAAAACATATCAATCACAGAAAAGCTGTGCACCGCCAGGAACGAGCCCTACCGTCTACCGTCGGCGGCCTGTCACTTAGTCAGTTGACGAGGGTGCGGATAGTGATTCGATATTAACATGCGCTCATCGCCTCATTGCAAAATCATGACTTGTCTGCTTCCTTTTTTTTCCCTGCCCAGGAGATCCCTACATACTTTTTCTTGTCTAATTGCTTGCGAATATACCGTGTACGGAGTACCACGATTGATTAGCAATAGACGCAATTTGTCATTATCTAGAACTCATCTCTTTTTAACTGCAAAGGTCCTGTGTCACTCCTAACCTTATCGTGTCGTGAACCCAAGCTCAGCCTTGCTTTTTTCGCTTGCTGTGCCCACAGACACCACACACTCCAAAGTCGCCGGGGTTGAGATACTCGCTCCCCTGGCACGCGGCGCCCTCGCAGCGCCAGGCGTTCGGTACGCTTGCCGGGTCCAGCACGTGGGAGCAGACGGCGCACGTTATCGACAGGGCAGAGTTGGCAAAAGAGCAGACTCCACAGATGGACTCGGCCTCACTATCTCGTCCATCTTCGGCCGTTGTCGCTGCGGCCGCAGCTCCATTAGACTTTGGCGCTGTCATCGTCGCTGACTCCGTCGCCGTCGCCGTCGCCCTCTGTTTCTCGGCCGATGGCGACGCCGTGGATGACGCGCTGGGCGGTGAGGTCGGATGACTGGTTGCTATTGACCGGGGGTCGTCTCGCGCTTCTCTCTTGATTGTGGGGGTTGTACTCGCGATGTCTAAAATTGGCGCCTCCTGATCGTCATTCGGCTCCTCCTTGACCTTGACTCGGGGAGGACTTTCTTGCTTTGGATTTCGGATCATCGGTTCTTGCTTCCGTGATGACTCTGCTGCTTGATTCTGTGGTGGCACAGCTGCAACTTCAGCTTCGTTCACCGGCTCGCGCTTGAACTCGAGATGCGTCTGCCGCCACTGCTTGACCGACGCCTGTAACTCCTGTAGCTCGTTCTGGGCGTCCTGGTCATCGGGGTTCTCGTCTTCGCAGACCTTGATCATGCCCCTGCCTTTGCCGTCCTTGATCACCTTGCCATCAATGTCGACAGCGTCTTCGTTCTTGATGTCCGCCGGATCGTCCTCGTACTCGCTTTCGCCGCTGTCCTCATCCTTAACCTCATTCTTGATGTCCTCTTCGGGCTCCTTCTTCGGCTGGTCGAATCGTGCGAGCGCCGCTGCGGCTCGCAATTCCCGTCCACGAGCACTCCCAGCCACGCGTGGTTTTGCTTGCGTGCGCTTGCCGCCTTCCAGCTTGACTTTTGTCTCCTCGTCAGCGCCCAGAGCCGTGCCGTTGGCGCCAAACTTTTTGAGAATTCGGCGCTCCCTTTGTTCTTTGTAGGAAAGAATTGGTTTGATCTTCCTCTTGCGTCCACGAGAGCGATATGTACCACCACATAGGTGTTCCGGCAGCGGTTCAGAGGGAAGCGCGACGTTGTTCTGGAACTGTCCCGTTCCCAACAGGGCACCACGGCCCCAGATGCCTTCGCCAAAGTACCCTCGCTGCCAGAGCCCTCGCATTTGCTCGGCATAATTGTTCCTAACAGCCCAGAATGCCCTGGAATGATTCATTTGCTTGCAGTGTGCCAGCCTTTGCCCAGTCAGTAATGGGTCATCGGGGATACTGCAGCAGACTTACTCGTGCATCATCACCATCTGAACATACTCAAATGGTAGCCACCGTCCTGACTGCGACTTGAGCACAAGCTGAATGATTTCACCGGCGTTGAAGTTTCTGCCCACGAATTCCCGGTTGAACTCGTACTGCTCTAGAGACATCACCGAAAGGTGGTGCTCTTTCATGATCGGTACTAATTTTGGTCAGCCAGTCCCAGATCGTAGCAAAAAAAAGGCCACTTACAACATTGTGCGGCGATCCTTTCGAGAAAATCCTGGGCAACCTTCTCATCGCGGCCTTTCAGAGGCTTGATGAAGATGATCCGGTCGTTTGGATGCGAACGTTTCGCATTCAGCCGCTGGATGCCGATCGGCATAGTGGCACTAACAGAGATTCGGGACTCAGATTCTCAAAGGCGCAAGTTGTGAAACCGTTTACTTTCTGGCCCAATCTTTCCGTAGAATTTCAAGTCTTTTCCGAGTATCAATAATACCTGGAGTGGAAATATTCGATGGAAAGAAGTGATGCGTCTAAGACTAGACCGGGACGTGACGAGGGGCAAAAGACGGCAGAGCGGGAGTGACGCGCAGTCACGTGCCCCACTTTCTCAGCGTTTCGGTGACAAACTTTCTTACCGCCGTCCGGGCTCCGAAGAGGCGGCTGCCTAGCTGATTTACACAAGATCAAGTAAAGGTAAGGTTCTTCCCATGAAATTTGGTATATTCAGCACTTCTTATTTTCCAAGACTATCCGCATCATTTTCCTGAAATGATCATCGTCTTCTAGCGCCACCGGCGGCAGCAGCATCGCCTCTCTCGGCAAGAGATACAACCTCACTAATACCAGCAGCCTCCTGCTCCTCCTCCAACGCCGTGATCTCCTCTCTGCAATCCCACCACTTCTCCTCACTGAGTTCAAAGGCCTTAGCTTTGATCTCCTTGATGGCGAGTGTCTCCGGCTGGATGTTCTTCCAGCGAAGGTTGGTCATGAGAATCTCCTGCCACTCGTTCGTGGTGCGCACGAAGAAGTCACGTCTTGTCTCGAAGGGCTGCAATGTGTAAGTTACCATATTTGTAATCCTGGAGATAGGCACTTGTAGGACTTACTCTTGGGTGCGGGAGACCGTCATCGACGGTTTCGTTCGCCTCAGTATCGTCGTCCTCTGTCGTGCTCGTAGGGGCAGTCGAGGAGGTTGCGTTGGTCGTTTCGGAGCCAGCAACAGAGGCCTCATCGCCCTGCTTCTTCTTGCGCTTGCTCGGCGTGTAGAACTGCTTCTTGTCCTCCTCTTCCATCTCGATGTCGCCTTCTTCATCCTCCTCGTCTTCATCATCCTCGTCGTCATCCTCATCGTCGTCATCGTCTTCGTCCTCGGACTCCTGAAATGCAATTAGTAAAAAGATCCCATTACTGGCAGTTGTCTGACTTACGATCCAGTCATCGACAGGCCTGTTGAAAATTTCTTTACAGCCGTCCATTTTGCCAAGATCCACCGCGTACAAGTCATCAAACGTGAACTCACGGTCCTTGGCCTCGAAAGTGCCGCCATAGATGTAAAGTACATCATCCTGCACAGCCAATTGGGCATTGAACCGTTGGTGCGGCAGCTCCATCGTGATCGGCATTTCCCTCATAGGGGTCGCATCCTCATCGGGCTCCTCCACTTTCTTCTCAATCTCCATGTCGTCAGCATCCTCCAAGGACTTGCCAGTTTCGAGAGCAGCCAGCTGACGCAGGAGTTCCTCCTCCCGATCCTGGGCACGAGCACGACGACCTCCACGCTGCTCAGCCGGGTTGGCCTTCTTTTGCTGGCGGGCTTTGCGAAGGGCAAGCGGGAAGAAGCGGTTTCTCTCAATGTTCCACGCGAAAAGCTCTCGGAAAAACTCGCTGTCCATTCCCTCTTCGCTATCCTCGACATCGTGCACACCTCCAAATAGAATGCCACGGCCCTTGTGCCATGCCATGGTGGCGCCCGCGCGCTTGGGGCTGGGAGCGTTGGCAGGCTTCTTGCGTCGTTCCCAGCGAACGACTGGAGGTGCGGTCGCAGGTGATCCGTCAGGCGGCAGAGACATCCTGAGGAAGAAACAGTCATCGTGAACCATTGGCTTCAAGATATTCTTCTGTCCTTGGCTTGAACCCCTGGCCTGCTTGTTGGCCGCTACCGTAGCCTTCACTCTTGAGTAACCTCCATAGAGAACAGCGCCTTGCTCGTGGGGAAGAAACGTGAAAGAAGACCGGGCATCAGGCTTCAGCTGCGCAGGAGGCAGAGTCGGACTGTGCCAGGAGAAATTTTGAGTATCGAAGATCCATACATCGGCAAGATACTTGGTCTGGTTTGAGGTATCCTGGAAGCCGCCAAACAAGATGATATACTGCTTCCAGTATGTCATGCGGTGACCACTCCTTGCGGGGGGCGTCTTGCCCTTGCACTCAATCTTTGTCCATTCTCTCGTGGCAGGCTCCAGCCGCCAAAAGTCCGAGTAGTGATGGAACGTCCCTTGCTTTGGCGACGAGAACTCTCCGCCGAACAAGTAGACATGGTTGGGGTTTGACGCCCTCGTCCAGGCGTGCCCGGAGCGCGGCAAGGGTGCGTTCGGCGACGTCACGCACCTCCACTCATCACGGTTGATGTAGTAAATGTGCAGGTCGTTGAAGAAGTGAGCCAGCGAGCCATTGAAGTACTCGCCGCCAAAGAGCAGTAGGTTGTTACTGTCACAGGGCGAGGCCATAATGGTAGAAGCAGACCGGGCCTTGGGAGGTCCCTCGCACACGGTCTCCGTGACTTTGAGGAACTGCTCCTGCTGCTTCTTGTACTCCTCAAGCACTTGCTCGAGGTCAACATCCTCGGCATCGCTCCCCTCGAGCTTTGCAATCTTGGTCTTTGCCTTCTTCTCGCCCTTGTTGGCCTGCTTCTGCTTCTTTGCAGCCTACTCCATATCAAAGTTAGGCACAGTTTCTCTGCTTGCTCTTGGGAGCCCATGAAGACGAGGCATTGGAAGACGTACTAGCTTAGCAGCCTTCTCGTCACTTTTCCCCTTCTTAGCCTTGGCCATTTTGAAAGACTTGGGTAGAATGCTGTGATACGTGCGGATAGATTAGTTCAAATATTGACGTTTGTGACGTCGGCGGGGTGAATGGCGGGATGATGATGGTGGGGTTCACCGTCTTGGGGAAAATTTGAGTCCAGTCATGGAGGGGCAATTTGCATTGGTCGATACAGTCCTCATCCCTCCGCATTTACTGTGCCTCTGGGCATCTTGAGCGCAAATACAGTGCGAATCGATACATCGTCACTGGACATATCCAACCTGCAAGTATTCGAAGCCACAGGTCTGGGCTCGACGCCATGAAGTTGATTGATCATTCACAATGATTCTCTTACAAAAGAAGACCGGTCCATGCATGTTGAATCTTGATGCGACGTTCACGTTGCCGGCTCGATGGTAGGTTTAAATGTCGCGTGCTCCCCCTGCCGTTCACCCGATCCCTCGATAATTGACTTGGCACAGGCCAGAAGCTGACTGGTCGCTGTCTTTCTGCCCTTCAACATCTGCCCTTCAACATGGCATGGGCAGCTGGTGATTTTCACATGTTTGAGCTGGTCCAGCCCCACTGAGGCTTTTCGCCAGTGTTGAGGATGGCAAAGGAGCTCTGGCCAAGGTCCCAGGGAGGCGTCCGAGAACATGCGAGGTACCTTGTCGTGTTTGCTTCCTTCCGTGCTTCCTTATCCCATAGCTCTGCTTGAGCTACCGTAGGCAAGTCTCAGACCAACAGCTCAACGACGCTATGCTCGAGACAGTCGCGTCGATCGTTTTCGAGCATCTAGTGCAAGCCCATGAAGCCGTGTTAAATCCTCTGTGAACGGTGAATTGTTTCCATGACGGCCTCCGATTCTCTTGAACGGAATGAAAACCGCATCAGTAAGGCGGGATCCTATTCTCGTAAGAAGCATAAGGTCATTTTGAAAGCTTGGTAATCACATGCAAATTAGGGATTGGGTGGTGGTGAGAAGAAGGGATTGAGTCTGACCGGGGTGCATATCGACATATCGAGGGTTGTGCATATCTCGCATATTATGTAGGCTTATGCATGATTTATGCACAAAGGACAGCTTCTGTGCTCAGGGGGTAGTGTCGTAGACTGCAGCCGCTTGCCGGTATGCGGACGGGATCCAATCCGTAACGTCATCGTCATTGGCGGCAGCTCCGGGGTGCTAGCTGCTGACGCTCCCACGCACACCCACGTCCCTCTCTCTCATCCGCACCCAGCGTAATGCACCCAACCTGCCCTCGTTTCGCAACATCAGGCTAGCTACCACCAAGTAACCTTTCCGCCCTCCCTTTGTGCATTCCTTCGCCCGCTCCCTCATAGACTTCGGACCCTGTGCGCCAAAAAGTTTCCGATCATCTCTGGTCAAACCACGGCCCTTACTGAATCAAGCCGTGGGTCTTCGATTAGCAAAGGAGGTCTCCTCCGAGCTCTCAGCCTACGCCCACGCCGCACGCCTGTCCGAGGTCCGGCCCTGCCGCCATCCGACGCCGACGCAACCATGTCTAACTTTGGGGACGGGACCAAGGTGGCTGTCATTTCAGGTAAGAGACTACCTGCTTTATAAACACCTTTGGTCTCCGCATCTTCTCTTTGTACACGTTCCCACCGAGAGCTGGGCCTGGATTGCCGATAGCGACATACGAGCCACCATCATTCAAGATCCGCCATCATGCCTCGCAAGAAGGGTTCCGCAGCTCGTTCCAAGTCGCCAACTAAGAGGCAACCTGTCAAGAAATTCAGCAACCCTCAGCTTGCGTCGCAGGCAGCCGAGTCTGGGATCAGCAAGATTAATGTTGTAGCAGAAGCTCCAGAGCTTGGGCCACCAGCGTCCTCAACCAACGACAAGCAGACTCCTGATGATACCGAGAGACCTGCCGCTGAGAGGAAGGAGTCCAATCACGAATACAGCGCCACTGTAAGTCAATGTGAACTCAACTAGCTACTTCTCTTCTCCATCTCGCTGACAATGCTTCCTCCCACAGGGCCTAGACGATTCCCCTAAAAGCCCAAGCAGAGGCCATCGACGATCCCCTTCCTCGGCGAGAAGCAACGGCAGTATCAAGGCCGAGGAGAACGATAGCAATGGCAATGCTGTTGACCCCGAAAAGAGCTTTGGTAGCGAGGGCACCGCTGATGAGACTCTCGTCGATGGATTTGATGTTGACAGATCGGAGTCAACAAGTGTCAAGGGAATGAGCGACGACAACTACCCGCGCCTCACTCTCGCAGCACAAGGCCGTAGGAACAGCCATCGCTTCGGATTGAAGGCTGCAGGCATCCGCTTCGCGCCTCTTCAGGTCCCCTTCCAGCGTCGGCTCCAGACCGGAGCCGTTCTGTTTCACGGCCTATCCATTCTCACATTCGTCTCGATCTTCTTTTTCCTCGCGGCGATTCCTTTCACCTGGCCTCTCTTGGTTCCTTACCTTATCCACCTGTCACTCTCTGGCGTTGCCTCCAATGGCAACTTGAAGCTACGGTCGGAATGGCTGCGATCGCTTCCCATTTGGAAGTTCTTCGCCGATTACTATCCTGCTGAGCTTCATAAGACCCATGATCTTCCACCGACAAGGAAATACATTTTCGGCTACCACCCTCACGGAATCATCTCACACGGCGCTTTCGCAGCATTTGCAACCAATGCCCTCGGATTCGCCCAGAAGTTCCCCGGGATCACCAACTCATTGTTGACACTCGACAACAACTTTCGAATCCCTTTTTACCGCGACTACATTCTGTTCATGGGCGTTCGATCTGTGTCTAAGGAGTCGATCTGGAACACGCTGAGCAAGGGCGGCGCCAATGGCGAGGGAATGGGGCGTGCAGTCACCATCGTTGTGGGTGGTGCCAGGGAGTCACTTGAGGCTCAGCCTGGAACTCTCAGGTTGATCCTGAAGGGACGCAAGGGCTTCATCAAAATGGCGCTGCGGACTGGAGCTGATCTCGTGCCCGTTCTGGGTTTTGGCGAGAATGACCTCTACGACCAACTTAGCCCGAAGACCCATCCTTGGGTGCACAACTTTCAGATGTTTGTGCTTCGCGTCTTTAAGTTTACTCTCCCGGCTCTTCATGGCCGGGGAATTCTCAACTACGATGTTGGCATGATGCCGTACCGCAGACCGCTCAACATCGTAGTGGGCAAGCCTATCAAGGTCACCACGTCGCCCACAGCACAACCTACCCAAGAGGATATTGACCGACTACACGACCTGTACATGGCCGAACTTCAGAAGATTTGGGACACTTACAAAGACCAATTCGTGCCTGAGCGCAAGGCCGAGCTCCAGTTCATTGCTTGAAGTAGCATAGTACTGCTGCCAGCAGCCGCGTATCCTGTTTCTTACGACTTTTCTTTGAGTTTGGTATTCCGTTCTTGTCTTACTCACAACAAAATACGGCAGCGGCGGTTAAATTTGGCGCCTGGAGGGTGTTCGGGTTGGAAAAGGGGAAGCAAAGTACACTGGACATCGGGTTGGCTAGGTATAGTTTCAGCAAACATTACGGTATTCAATTGAAAGTCTGATTAAATTCAACCTATTGAGATACCGTAGCGATGTGAACATGATGTTTGTTAATCACTTCGGCCCAACCGCGAGATTTTATTGGAGCAGGTGCGTCAAGTAAAGCAGTAAGGTCGAGCACGGACTCTATCCGTACAGCTACAATAGCACCTACTTAATTGCTCATTAAAGTCACCTGACATCGCGCATGTATGACGCGGACCTTGACGCGTGCTAATCACTGGCTTGCCGACGACGAGTCTTTGCTTTTTTGGAAGATCCGATTTCTACTCCTCATCCGCCCCCTCCTCCTTTCAATCTTTCGAGAATTGGTCCTTCTTTACGCATCCTATTGCAAAGATAATCACCTCGGCACAAATTGAAAAGAAGACGAAAAATCATGCCTCCCCGCACTTCTGCACGCAGAAAGGCGCAAGCAGTCGTCGAGACCAAGGTCGAAGAGACGGCCACCACGAAGACGAACGGAGCCAAGACCACGACAGCCGCTGCAACGAAGACAAAAAGCACAGCCACTGCAAATAAAGCATCAGGAAAGCGCAAGGTCTCCTCAGACGACGAACACGAGGCCTGCGGAAGCTGCGCCGAGGAAGAGGAAGAGAAGCCTGCGAAGAAGAGGAAGACCACAGTAGCGAAGGGCAAGGCGAAGAAGGAGGACGACATGCCGCTGGCAGTCAGGACAGCGGTGTCTTCGCTGAAGAGGGCGATGTACATTGGTGCCCATGTCAGCGGTGCTGGTGGTCAGTAGCTGCGACGACTCCCCTCTCCTCAGACCTTTGCGCTGACAATTGTATCGAAGGTGTGCAAAACTCGATTCAGAATGCCGTCAATATCGGCGCCAATGCTTTTGCCCTCTTCCTCAAGTCACAAAGGAAGTGGGAGAGTCCTCCCCTGGCAGCCGATGCCAAAGACCAATTCGTGTCCCTCGCAAAGGAGAATAACTATGATGCCGCTGCACACGTCCTTCCCCACGGCTCATATCTCGTCAATCTCGCCCAGGCGGACGCCGATAAGGCGAAGCAGGCATACAAGAGCTTCATAGATGACCTTCAGCGGTGCGAGCAGCTGGGCATAAAGCTGTACAACTTCCACCCGGGCAACACGGGTGGAGAGGCTCGCGAAGAGGCGTGCGGGCGCATCGCGGCGCAGCTCAACACTGCGCACAAAGCGACGAAGAAGGTGATTACAGTGCTGGAGAACATGGCAGGGACTGGCAACGTCATTGGCACAAAGTTTGAGGACTTGAAGCAAATCATTGACAAGGTCGAGGATAAGGAGCGAGTTGGCGTGTGTATTGACACTTGCCATGCCTTTGCGGCAGGATACGACTTGCGGACGCTGGATAAGTTCCATGAGACGATGAAGGAGTTTGACGAAGTCGTTGGTAATAAGTACCTCAAGGCGTTCCACCGTAAGTGCTCACTCCACTCATTCAAACCTTTTAGCACTCTAGAAGGCCATGGCTGACACCACAAAGTCAATGACAGCAAGGCACCCTTCGCCTCACACCGCGACCTCCACGCCAACATCGGCACAGGCTTCCTCGGTCTCCGCGCCTTCCACACCCTCGTCAATCACGAGCCCTTCCAGAACCTCCCTATGGTTCTTGAGACGCCAATCGACCACAAGGACGCAAACGGTAAGACTGTCGAGGACAAGAAGGTCTGGGCGGAAGAGATCAAGCTCCTGGAGAGCATGATCGGCATGGATGCCGAGAGCGATGAGTTCAAGGCGCTCGAAGTGGAGTTACAGAAGAAGGGCGCGGGCGAGAGAGACAAGATACAGGACCAGGTAGACCGCAAGGCCGAAAAGGATGCCAAGAAGGGGACTAAAGGGGCCAAGGGGGCCGCGAAGAAGGGCGCGGCGGCTGGGAAGGGTAGGAAGAAGAAGGTTGAGACTGACGATGAGAGCGAGTGAATGGACTGGGCTGGGTTCGATGTCTGGACTGTGTATCAATATGTGCCTTGTTACCTTATGAGAGACTGGATGCTTGGCGTGTAAAATCCGATTTTAAGCCCGGAACAATAGCTGAGAGACAATCTTGCCACAGTGACATATTCCATGGCCATGGGATCTATGTGCAGTGACCTCGAGGCATCTATGAAGTTCTGCAATCCAGCGGCTCGTCGACCTCGGCCTTGTGCTGTGACCTATCCTACCCATTTCTCGTCTGATGAATCAGGCACCAAACTTTTTACATATCCACGGAAACCTCAGGCTCGAGGAGGCTTTTCCATCCGATCACAACAACAAGCCCATATAGGTCCCCCAAACTCCATTCCAGTCACCAGCCAGCAGGCGCCCGTCTAGGTCGACGGGTCAGGTCAAACTGGCTGGGTGGTGGAGTGGTTAAAGGTCAATATTAATCATCTACACCAACCAGCCTACTCGACGACAGGCTAAGCGCATACGAGAGTACCCGAGTTCGAATCCCAGCATGAGCACCAAGAGATGTAGCCCCCAGTTCAGCACCTGGGGGGTGAACTCTTTTTTGGTTTGTGTGTGTACATACATGTATTACATAGACGCTATTGTGATAAAGTCCTTCTGAGACCCGAGTCTAGGAGACTAAAAACCCAAAAAAGAGACCGCACCAGTGGTATAGGTAGTTCGACGTAAATAATCTCCTTCCTCCTACACAGAGCCCGGAACGCCTCCCCGCCGCCTCCCTTCGTCAAATCGTACGCAAAATAGGGATGCCAATACACTTCTTCACCTCCTGCCCTTGGCAAAAGCCTCGACCTTGCCCACAAGACTCTTCAACCCAACACCTCTCTCGCAGTTGCCCTCCAACCAAGCCTCCATCTTCTCCCTGACGCTTCGCATGCTCTTGAGAACAGGCATGCGGGCGCCCTCCTCTACGGCGACAAACGACCCAGGGTTAAGCAACAAATCGAAACACTCCGACCAGATCTCCGTCTGCCAGTACCGCTTGAGGCTCTCGCGGACGCGGTACTTGCGCCCGCTCGCCCCGATCCCGCCCTGATCGCAGCGGACCGTGTCAATGTACTTTCCAAACAGCAGGCAGTGGACGATGCCCGCGAGGCCGTGGTAGTCAATCTGCCACGTCCACGGCCGACCCTCGCGCATCTCGGCGCAGTCCTGCGCGCTTGTCTTCCAGTCCGCGATGAAGCCCACGTCGGGCGCAAAGTTGCGCATGTCAATGCCGCGGCCGAAATCGATGAGGGTCACGCCCCGCGCGTCCCAGCCGCCTGCGCCGATAGCGCTGTATTGCGTTGATAGGGGCTGGTCGTTGCCGCCGTGGTCGAGGCGGAGGAGACAGTTGTCGACTTTGAGGTCGCCGTGGAGGACGCCGCGGGCATGTAGGGCCTCGACGGTGCGGAACAGTTCAATGGTGAAGAACATGGCTAGCTGCTCATCCATAACGGCAGAGGGCTCGGCGCGGAAGAAGTTGACAACGTCGAGGACGCTGCCGTGGGGGTGATAGGGAAGGAAGAGGAAGCCCTCGTCCTGGTAGAGGTGAAATTCATGGGCGTAAGAGACGGAGGCGGCTGCGCGGTGCTGAGGGCCCAGGCGCGTGTGTGCAAGACGCATCATGTGGAACTCCCAAGGTGTCGGGGGAAGTTCCATCTTGAGTGCTTCCAGAGGGCTGCGATGGTTGACGGCAAATGCGCCCTTTCCCATGGCCACGACGCCGTTCTCATCCTCGTCTTCCTGGTCTGCGTCCGGGTTCTCGACAAGATATACCGGAGCAAAAGCGCCGGCACCGAGCTCTTTCCTGATGGTGTACTCTGTCGCAATATCGGGAAACTCGATAGTGACCATGGCACCAGCATTGCTCACTCTGTCTCCGCCCTTGGCTGCCTTTGTCATGGCCTTGGCGAATTTACGGATCTCGTTGCCCTTTTCATACTTCTCGTGGCTATGGTCGTAGAATCCAGGGTATGAGTCGAGCGAAGGATGCATATTGGTGAGGATCTCATTCCTCACAGCTTCATCTACTGGATTGCATTGCATCTCCTTGATGATCGGTCCCTTGGGAGGCGCTGGTTTTGACGGAGCAGACTTGGCCTTGCCGAGAAGGGGCTGGGCAATTTTGATGGGTCGAACCTCGCTCAAGACTTCCCTCAATGGGCTGCTACCCGGTTCTTCCATGTCAGAGTCTTCCTCATGGATAGTTGACTCATATTCCTCACGAGACGGAGTCTCGTATCTCGCCTTCCGTTCTGTAAACGCAAGGGAAGATTCGGTTCTCTCCGTAATCGGGGTCATGAAGGGGAGACGGTTATTGGCCATCTCGACCGGGTCCCTAAACGGTCGTGTCCTGGGCTCATAATCCTCTGGTGGTATCGGAACGAAGATCGTCTTCGTTCTTGGCGGGTAATCCTCATCACCTTCCTCTTCTTCGTCGGCCTCCTGCTCATCACCTGATTCTCTATCATTCTGAGAGGCAGTCTGCTCATCTGGTAGAGGGCCAGTACGCTCGGAGTAGTTTGGATCCATCAAATCGGAAGCTTGGGTATCGTCTACACCGGCCTGGGTCGCGTCTTCGTCGAGCACAGGGACGTGCTTGCGTGTGGAGAAGTCAGACCATTCACTGATACTCTTAATATCCGAGCGATCTTCGTCAGCCTCTTCGGCAGCGTTATCGTTTTCAATCAGGCGAGTAGTCATGGTGTTCTCAACCTCAGTGTAGTCGCCATCTGTTTCGTAGTCGTCATCCTCGTCACTATCTTCCTCTTCGTCTTCTTCCTCCTCCTCCTCATCATCCAGAGGATTAGACTGAATGGGTTGGTTAAAAATCTCGTAGATCTCATCCGTAGCAGCCCGGGTATGGAGCGTCATTGTTGGCTCAGCCGTGTTTCTCTTCTTCAACTTTGGCCTAGACGGTGAGTCTAGATTTGCTTTGACTACAAAATTGTCAGCTTGAACACGATGTAACTTGAAGTGAACGCCGCTTACTGATCTGAGTCTCGTTCACCTCCATCGCCTTCTTTTTCTTGCTTTTGCCCCCCTTCTTTTTGACTATGGCTCCGTTCTCATCCATTACGACAGTTTCTGTGTGAACAACCAACTTCTCCTGTACTAGGTGGCTGAGGTCGTCAACCATGGAAGGCTCAACGCTCATCATCTCGGAAGGAACTTCTTCAGTTAGTGATATGTCATCCCAGGAGACATCCAGCCAGCCTCGGTTCATGGCCCAAACTTCCTCAAAACCAAGCTCCGAGCCAGGTTCTTCGGGAGTGGGATAGAGGGCCTCGAGGCTAACAAAGATGCGCTCCTTCTTCCCGCTTACGGGGTTCACTACTGTTTGATTCTTCGATGGCACGAGTGTAATATGGGACTTAGACATTTGCGCTCGTGATGATCGTGATTGGGCTTTGGGTTGCAATTTTGATTGCAACTGAGACTGAAATACATGAAACGCCATAAAGCCAAATATTAGTCCTATAATCATCAACATCCAGGCATTGGGAAGTTCAAGTAAATAGGTGCTTACCGTATCCTTGAAGATAGCCATCTTCGGAGCAGTGCTCTTCTTCCCGCCAGCCTTCAATGTCTCTCCTGCCCACGGCTTGGGCTCCATCACGTTCTCCTTCTTCCGGTCGCCCAGGGAGCCAATTGAATCCCATCCCTTCGAGCTTGGTCCACGCGACGACAATGCTGGGGGCGCGGAGTCAGCGTCTGAGAAGATGGACATCTTAGCCTTGCCAGGTTTCGCCGCCGTTGTGCTCACGCCCTGGCTGGGTCGGGGGCCCTGGGGGTCCGCAGCGACAGCGGCCGCAGCGCGGGCGGCGGCAAAGGGATCAATCTTTGCGGCCAAAGCGGGCCGCACGGTGGGAAGTGCTGGTGATGAGGGCTCGTTGTCGGCCTCGGGCTGGTGGGCAAGTCTCTCCTCGAACTCCTTGAACTTGCGAATCAGACGCTGTACCGGTCTTGCCTCGCGCTCGATTCCGAGCTTGTACACCTCCTCTGCTTGGCTCCATCTGCCAGCGCCCTCGAGCCAGGCGGCGTACTCTTCGTAGAAAAGGGCAAGCGACTCTCCGATGCTGTGTCGCGACAGGAAGAGGAAGGTTTCGCGCGGCGAGTCAGCGAAGAATTGGATGTACAGAATCCAGATCTTGAGGTATCTGGGATCATTCTTGTACTGTGATGAACCAATAAAGGTCTTAGTTGCGCGCTCGAGGAGCGTGTGAAGCTGAGATTGTGGTGTTGCTTGCGCTGACGGGTATGCGTCCAGGGTCCATCGGACATAACGGTCGAAAATGTCTAGAGGGTCGTCTGACTCGGAGATGTTCTGGAGCTCCTCCTCGTACTCGACTCGAATGCAGTCGTTGACATTCTTGGTGTCTGAGGGTGTCGGGGTGTTCAGCTTCTGTAGAGGCGAGGGCGAGAACAGCTGGGCCAGCTTTTTGGCGGAGCGACCACTGGGCAGCGCCTGGATGTTTTCTTTCTGTGCTTCGATAACGTCGAAGTTGATGAGATCGTCGGAGGCTGCCATGGTCAGTATCGTCGCGGCAAGTTGCCGTCGCGTCTCCGGGTGATGTGGTGCTGGAGTACTGCGTCTAGGTTGTCGATGTCCAAGTTGGAAATGGGGCAGCGTTAGAAAAGGATGCCCAGTGTTGTGGTGTTGATTATTGATAACGATAACAGATCGGCCATGTGGGACGTGTGGCGCGTTGCTGGGACAACGGACTTCTTCACCCTGATTATGTAATCATTAGTCCTTCACCGAGCTCGGTGTGGGTGCATCGTCATTTTGTCAAACGGTACTTACCCAGTTAGGAAGTAGCAGTACGCCTCCATCCATTTCTCTAAGTTACCTCCATACAGTAATCCCACGTCATTTCCTTCGACACAAAGGGAAAAAAAAAAAAAAAAGAAATCAACAGGTAAACAAAGCTTGAACCGTTTTGCGGAATCCAGAAGGACAAAAGATTTTAGCGTCAAAAAAACCTCGGTCCCCCGTTTGGCCTCTTCTAGCGCTCGGCCCGTCTGATCTTAGTGGCCGATTCTGCCCATGTGCCCCTATCTTGTCCAACCTCTTTGAATATGGAAGTAAAAAGTCAGAATGACGCCACCCCAGTCACTCCTTTCTTGCCAACTTGATACAACAGATTCGAGCTCACTCGTCGCAATACAGCGAATTTTCGCATGCTTCTCATACGTTGAACGGCGAAAATACTTCGCAACTAGCGTCCAAAGAGTCGCGATTGCGTTATAGAAGAGCTTCATCATGGAACACTCAATGCCGGCGACTTCGGGATCAAATCTGATGCCGAAGAAACGCCTGCTGGACCTTCCTAACGAGCTTATCTGTTGCATCGTCGACTCCGTCGCACTTTTGAGGAAAGACAGATACGATGATGCTAGAGATACCCAGACCTTGTCGAATCTTTCACAAACTTGTCAAATATTTCACCTTCTCTGCAATTCTCAACTCTTTTCTAATATAAACCTGGATGAATCCAAAGACGCCGCCGGTCTTCTCATCCGGTCCCTTATCGAAACACCTGAACTTGGGGTTCATGTGCAACGTTTGACGTTACGCGTAATATGGGAGTCAGCCGAGCAATGCGAGAAGGGATTACGGAAACGGCTTACACCAACCCAGAGCAATGCGACAAGTCATCCGGGAACCTTGCCCAATTTGCGGCATTTGGAATTGGAAGACCCTGCGGTGTACTTCATGAACATTCCCGAGGTTCCTCGCATATTCACTGGCCTGCTTGCGCTGCCTCCTCTCATGTCGATACTTACGCGATACGATAACGATAGATGGGGAGGTCTCGCCCAAGTCGCCGCGGCTGGACCCTTCGCCTTGGAGCAAATTCGCTTCCACGAAACTGCCATCCGGGGACCCGACTTATGCCGATTACTCCAGCTGTGCCCCGGTCTCCGAGTCCTCGAAATCGAGATTGACTATCACTTCTTCGCTCCTTGTTTCCAGCAAACCACACACCCAGGAATCACCACTCACCTATCCACGACGCTCTCAACACTCTGCCCGCGCTTACAGAGACTTACGCTGCTACACGGGGACCTCTCGGCTCTTCGGACCCCCGATGAACCATGTCTCACATGTCTCACGAATTTGGAAGATCTGACTGTGTTGGAGACCGAACTGCCAACTATCTTCCGAAGTCCCGAAGACATGGCAAACGCAGACATCACTGCGCGTTTGCCTGCGAAGCTCACGCAATTGACTCTCCATGACATTTGGTACTCGGATCCAAGGTATTGTCTGTACTCTTTGGCCCCAGGCTCTCGTCCTTGGATTCATGAGAGATTGGACGCCAGCACTGAACCTCTGACTGCGATGCTGCTTCGTCTGGCATCATCATGTTTGGCCGGTCAACTACCTGGCCTCCGAAAGGTAGCCGTCAAGACTCCAACATACGAACACGACAGAGGCAATACTTGTGACAAAATTTCAGAAGCATTTGCGAAGACTGGAGTTTTATTTGAACTGATTTCCGCTCACTCAACATTTCCATGCCCATTAACGCGATAACATCAGAGATTGGGACAAGATGTTAAACAGTCTAGTTTTTGGCATAGTTTTAGTACTTACATAGCTATCACTAGTAATCGAGTGAAATTTACCCTATGTTGAATACTATCTTTATTTCCTCAATGTAAATTTAGTGCTCTAATCCAGTGCTCTATGGCTTGATATCACTGCAGGCTAAGTAACAAACGGCCTATCTGAAAGTTTATTTCGACGTCAGAGAGTTTTTCCTTCGTAGTATTGATAGAATTGGTTTGGGCGTAAAACAGACATTTCGTTGAGTAGAGAAATATTACTTAGAATCCTTATCTTTGTTGCTGCTAAGAATAAACGTCATGTATGGAGATGTACACCTGGAATTAATTTTGTTGCATCGCTTTCCAGAAAAGATTGAAGAACGTATGACAAGTAGGCAAGTGAAACAAAAAGTCCCAGAAGACGCCGTCTGAACTTGCAGACACCAATCGAAGTAGGGTGCATGTGGCTGCACTGAAGAAGCTCTAAACCGACCTCCGGGCAATTCCCGATCCGCACAGCGGGGTTCTTGCATCACGTCATGCGGGCCGAACAATAGTCTTCTCGACCTTACTTCTACTACACATTTAGTACTGAAAACAAGAGTAGTACCGTTGCTGAAAAGGAGGCATCAATTTGTACTTACCTCGGACCTCAAAAATTTGACAATACTCACGACTTTCTACTTCTCACACTCACGATGCGTGTCGAAAAGTTCCCTCTCTCACCCCCGAGCCTGGAAGAGCTAGCCGAGCGACTCAAAGCTCCCTTGGATGCCAACTACGAACACACATCAGTGACTGTGGTCGATTGCCCCGACCTACGAAAATCACCTTTCCATCTGGCGACTGAGGGCCTCTCGGGCGATGAAAAAATTGCAGATGTTGGCGGCCAGCCGAACCTCTTTCCCCGCCCCCGGCTTGACAGCATCTGGTCCATACCAGAGATTGGCAGAAACATGGAAATGAGCCCCGAAAAGGGCAGCTTGATCGGCGCCGGCGCCGGTCCTTTCCACGTCATCGGGCAGAACAGCGAGCTTGCGCCGAATCTCAGCTGGCAAGGCGGTCTTGATAAGGTCGATAACAAGAGTCAAGTCATCCAGATCAAACGCACCACCGGAGAAGTCAGCGTCGAAACGAGCCCTTCCGTAGACTGCGGCCTCATGGTCAACTTGTACGGTTCCTTGGGCGAGCTAGGACCGGTGCTCAAGATTACAGCAAAGGGCCGCAAGGGTTCTGAAAAGAGCTTTACCGAGTGTATCCGGAAAGGGTTGCATGCTGCGTATGGCGAAGAAAGAACTGTTAGTCTCGGCGGAGCCTTTGTTGTGAAGGCAGGGAAGGCGACCTACCACATCATGCCTGATTTCCCTGCTGAGCGCGACCTACCTTTCAAAGATAGAAATGAGGTTGAAAAGTGGTTGACCTTTCATGATTTCGATTCGCCCATTGTGGGACTATCTGTGTTGCACTCTGCCGATCCCGGCAACAAGATGGGCTTGAGGATTGAGCATACGCATGCGTTCTCTCCACTGGGAAAGAATGCTGGAGGTCACTATCATTACGAAGCCGAGGGGGAGGAAGACATTGTTGAATATGAAGGATACTTCAATACTGCAAAAGCGATATACAGGATAGACAGCCCCACAAATATGAAAGGGTGAAGAACGATAATATCAAAATTAGAATGGCCTGCTCTACCCTTCAATACCAGAGATCCTCATCCTCAGACTCTTCGTCAGGAATATTAAGGCTCTCTTTGAATTCCTTCGTCCACTGTCGGAGTGGCTTTTCACCGACTCGAAGCTCGTCGTAGAATGACTTCAGCGGTTCAGGAAGTTGTTTTGAGTCGAGCAAACCGTCGTCGTCAACATATTCCTCCATGTAGGCGATCATGGCCATGGCGAAAGAGCCCATTGTCTTGCCCGAGTCACGAGCATAGAGTCTCAGGTAAGCCTCTAAAAGTATGTGAGATCTGGGTACGACGATGGAGGTGTCGCTAGATTTGAAAGCACCAGATCCGCGACCCGGTCGCCAGGGTGGAAGCACATCTCGGTCATGAGCAAGAGCAAATGTCGCTGATTGCTTGTCTTCGAAAGCTAAGAGGGAATCGTCAAAGTCTGGTAGAAACCATAGTGTTTCTGACTGTAGGTATAACCCTATAGTGAGCTCCGAGGATTTGATGTGCACATGAAATGCAGGCGGTGGTGTTCGGCGCTCAGGCGAGCTGGCAAAGCATAGTTCCACGGATGGGCATTGCTCGATTTCGGGTAATTCTGAGATAGCATCGGCGCCGACCGAAAGCATTTGATCTTGGACGACAAAATCTATAGACTTTCTGTTTGTTAGCCTTGGTATTCAAGACACCAATGCAAATGCTCGGAATGAACCTACCCCTATGATTGAAGGCACGCCGTGGACATTAAGCAGATAGTGTCCCCAGAGTACGCAGGGAGTTTTTGATGCGTTGAGGGCCGAGAAAACCGACTCTACAAAGTGTTCTGAAGTTCGAAACATTCCGAGCATTTTCGGCTATTGAACAGTGCCTGCGACTCCAGCTTGTTCTTTCGAAATTGGTGATGTGTGATGAGATCAAGGCCATTCAACGTATGACCTGAACAGCATGTGTAGGTAAATATTGTTAGTGGTCAAGCAAGTTGGTTGGGTCTTGGAATTTAACCCAGGCCGCTGTATTTACCGCGGACGTGTGGAGACGCTGCCTGCTGAAGAAGAGGGCCAGGCGGGTGGGCAACCTCTCACAGCCAACCTGTCATCTACAACCCACACACTCCGTCTTCGAAGTCACGCTAGCACAGCAAGTACTACGCTTCTTTCGTTTCCGCTCTTCATTTGAAGTACAATATGGACGCAGCGCATCGCTTTACTTATTTCGGAGCTTTGCCCCCAGAATTACGGCTGCAGATATGGACGGAAGCGCTTTCGGTGCCATCTGTTTGGGCTGTGAATCAAGAAGCAACCGAAACCAACAACGCCAACACGAGCCATCTGCCCCTCATCATGAACCATGTTGGTCCGGCTCCCTATCTAGCAGGCCTCGCTTGCCAGGAGTCGCGGCGGCTAATGGAACAACTATACGCCAAGCCCATACATAGACCAACGCACTCGGCGGCAAGTAGTGCGACTCATTGGATCGATCTGCAAAAAACGGTCGTCTCACTCGGGGACTACCGGTCCGCGGGGGCTTTGTTGGATGCGTTCACTTTCGAAGACTTGGCAAGATTCCGCCATGCCGTTCTACAGTCATCACGGTTCTCTGATATGGCCAGGCTGTGCCAGCGCCTGGCCAACTCATGCCCCGGGTTGTCTACGATCATCATACACACGAATCACGCTGGCTGCCTTTTTACCGACCTTCCTTGTGAACCCTTGACCCAAGACATGGCTGCACTTTTTGTCAACATCCTGGAGGACCCAACCGCCGGCCTAAATTGCAACCACTACGATACCGTCCACTTTCGCAGTCTGCTGCTAGACTATTTCGGCGACTCCCCTCCGACGTTGCATCTCGCCTCCCCACCCGGAGCGACTCGTCAAGACTGATGTTGGTTCAGCCTTGATTGTCGCGGCCTCTTCCTCATGTCTTGGTCGATGCTGTTGGTTGATTTCATTGGTTTAGTTGTTGGTTCAATGTTGGTTAAATGTTGGGACTGATATCAGCGTATCGCGGCTTATCCCTGTATCATTCTTGATTCGGATAAATGTGATTGCATAGCCTCCTTGGAAACACTGCGGTCTCGAGTTGCGCTGGAAGCCATGGCTCTTGGGGTCTGAAAGTGCTTGTTATATCAATGAACGCGCATGCTCTTTGTAACCTCTTAGAATCAATCTAGCATCACTGCACCTCGCTTCACCGACCATCAGTAACTATCTACAATCTATCTGTCCAAATATTCTTAGTGTACTATCTTTTTTTTCTTTTTTGGTTCGAGACCATGACTGAGAGAATTCTTCTTGAAAACGCTGCCTCTGAGGTTATCAGCATCCTGAAAGGCATCCCGGAATTTTCTCATGCTCGAGTCGCCGTGATTGGCGGATTAGCGCTGTGGAAGTATGTTCCTACTGGCAGGACCACCGAGGTATGTTTCACCAGCAGCTGGACGACTATCAATGAGCTATGCCAAAGGTCATCGAGACTCGCATCTGACTTTGATCAATGCAGGACGTCGACTTCATTATCAACATCGACAGTGCTCCGCATGGGATTAAACAGAAGTTGCTGTCTCTTCCAAACTCTCCATTCGTTCAGCAGGCACAATTCTTCTACTACAAGCAAGGAACAACTCTGGTGCAAGTTGATATCACTCCTGGATGGCAGGTCAGTTTAGACATTGACTTAGTGGCACGCTAGCTCTCTGACATTCGTCTCCTAGTCCCCTTACATGCCGGCTGCCGCCACAGAAATCGGGAGAATACCTCACGGTTCTGTTCCATATATATCACCTACGGACCTTATTGTCTTCAAGATCAACTCTTGCGGTTTGCGGGCTCAGGTGAATAAGAAACGTACCGATGCTTTGGATGCGGTGACGTTGCTGGAACTCGAGACCAGAAACGGGCCGTTGACTCTCAACAGCGCCCAAAGAGCCGTTGTTGAGCAATGTATTGCAGACGTTGTGGCTCACGGCCCCAAAAATGCTCAATGGTGGAAGCAGCGTCTCGGTCTGCGCTGATCTAAATTCCAGGCTCCTGTACAATGCATAGCATGATCATGGTGGAGTGTTTGCTGTTTATTTGCTGTCTGTAAATTCGTCCTAGGCTCTTTTGCCGCCACAGTGTGCAGTCTGCGGTCAAAGGGCGCTGTGTTCAACTCTTCAGTATCTTCGATCATATCTCAATGACTTTATTCTCTTCGAATCCTGCTGCCTGCGCGAAGTAATATCCTCGCTGATTCGCAATCAGCCTCAGAGGCTCTGTATCGCCTTCCCTCTCAACGCTGAAATCACAGTTGTAGTGCGTGTGACCAAATGCCCAAATTTTGACTCTGGCGCTTTTGAAGCAATCCTCCTTTGATAAATCCGTGGCAAAACCACTGTTGATGGGACTCTGTGAATGCCTTGGATCAGACGCCCGAGCATCTCTCGTCGGACTCCAGTGTGAAAAGATGATGATTCTGACCTCAGACTTCTCGAGCTCTGCGACTTGGGAATTGAGCCAAGAAAGATCTCGTTTGTGGGCTTCGTTATGCGAGCTGATTTCCCAATCATCGATCTGGAAGAAGTCCTGGAGTCCCATGCTGACCGAATCGGCGCTTTCGGGCGGAATGAGAGAGAACAGGCTACAGCCTAAGATGACGACGTTGGAGTCTGGTACCCGGAACATAGAGCGGTCGAGTAGTACAAAGTCTCCTAGTGACGAGTCCTTTTTCGCAGCTGCTTCGAAATCCTGAAGAATCTTGAGAGTGATACCCCAGCTGGAATGATACGCTTCATGATTTCCAGGGACGAATAGAACAGCGCGAAATTGCCGAAGCTGCTGTGTCAAGAAAGCGAGGCACTCCTCCTTGTGCGCAGCAACGTTTCCTATGTCGCCAAGAAGGCCTAGGTAAGGTGCCTGTGGCACAATTTCGAAAATATCGTAAGCTCTCGGGGACTCGAGATGAAGGTCGGAAACTATTTGGATAGCCATTCTGAGGAAGAGCGGGGGATTTCTCAATTATGGAAAATCGTGGTGTTGGTTGGTGAAAGTTAATGTTTAGTTGCAGATGAAAACGCGTCCCTGCTTGGGCCCAATGAACATAGTGCGATGACTGGTTAATTCGTACTGGACACTGTGTCAGCGAGAAATGGAATTGTTACCAGTCGCTCCTATTCGGAGACAGTGTTTTCCACCTTTCCAATATTAGATAACATTGAATGAACCAACACCGACAAGTTCATCAACCATTTATGCATGATCATGGCAATCTAGACATAAGCTACCGTCAGACGTGCTCTAGTATATATGCCTACAGTTTTACAACCTGCAAACAGTAGCTTGACAAATGGCAACTGAGCGGAGGTAGGTGTTTGGTATTATTTAATACTGGAGACAAGTAGGCTTGAGCGGGTGCAAGCTTAGAGGGAGCCGAAATCCGATGGTTGAATAGTTATAGGATATTGACGAACTCATGTCATTCAGTAGTCGTTGCCTCCAGTCTGTAAAACTTTGGCGATAAGAGAAGCGAGAACATTTGGCGTTCCAATATGTCTTTGAATCGGCAATCTCCGCAATCGCCCCCTTGCCTCTTTGGGCCACGGAATATTTTCCTCTGTCAGGGGCCGCTCAAAGCTTCAATGCCAACATATCACTCGCATAAAAACCAACGTCCTAGCCTGCTAAAATGTTCACCGTTCGACAGGCAATCGGGAAAGGCCTCGGAGTTTTTGCTTCGAAACCAATTCTCACAGGGCAAAGAATCCTCACTGACCAGGCTCTACTCACAATCATCTCTTCAGACAGCAACTCGATCCTGCGACAGGCCCAACTCCTCTCAACAGCTGGCCGAGACTCACTACTCTCATTATCAACCAATCCCGGCAAGTCCAGCGTCTTCAGCTGGCTAGAGTCAATATGGCGAAGCAAGTCTGCTCCACAACACACAGTGTCTAATCACACCATTCTCAATATCTTTCGGAACAACAACTTCAACATTGGCAACCAGACTCAGGCGCTTTTTTCTCAAGTTGCGCGCTTGAATCACTCGTGTGTCCCCAACGCCCAAGGAAACTTCAACAAGGATTTGAACGCATTCACCATTCACGCTACCAGAAACATTGAGCCGGAAGAAGAAATCACAATCTCCTACCTCGACGAACATCTGGGCCTGCGGCAATCCCGACAGACCGCCTTGCATCATGGCTACGGCTTCACTTGCGGATGCTCTGCTTGCAGTCCAACCACCTTGTCAGAAGCCGGCGAGGTGCGCCGGGCGGAGATCCAGCGCAAACTGGAGCTCTTCGCCGAAGCTGCTTCTGAGGATCCGGAGGACGAGTTCAAGATGATGCTTGCGCTCTTGGACGCTCACGAAGCGGAGGCTATCCGCGGACGGGAGGTCTCGACGATGTACATTGCTACCGCTCGTAAAGCGTTTGACTTGGGAAAGCGAGAGGAAGGATGCGAGCTGGCGTTGAAGGGCCTGCAGCTCGAGAAGGAGGCTGTGGGTGATGACAGCCCTTTTTATGCTGCTAGTCTAGAGGCAGTACATGCGCTGGGGGTTGAAATTTGATTCTGGGTCAACAAAATAGCCATGGTCGACTAAAGGCAGCAGACTTTTGTTCCTGAAGTTCCGCGTCCTGAGATACCCAACAGGATTAATTGTCTTTTGTTTCGTATAGCATCGTCCGCTCAAGTCTTTAATCATCTGCAAACTAGGCCTAGGCAATTCATCTTAACCTCAATATCAGTTGCTATCGACTACTGGACTGAAACCTCCGCCAAAATCTGACTCATCGACCAGTTGCGTAAGCAACGACTCCAGCTTCTTGCTCATTGGCTAGGGGCAAGCATTCTCTTAAAAGTTTTCAGAATCGAGTAGCTTCACACTTTCTGCCATATCAAGAAAGGTGTATCGGTTTGTATGTTTTTGTACGAGTCCTAGGAGCGAAAGCTAATTCACAGAAAGGCCAAAGTCTCTGCGATGGTATGGAGCAACTCGGACAATGGGTTTAGCCCAGTACTCGTGTTGGCGGAAAGAGTATTCAGTGACGGAATACCCGCGAGATATAGAACCCCCGTTACAGGTTGGGATATAAGCAAGCTCACCTCTGGCATCCTCAACAGCAGTATAAGGGACTCTTGCCCAGAAGCTTAAGATGGTCATACCCCTAATCCTGAAGTGCAAAGCTAACGAGCTGCAGCTTGTGAGTTCGAACACCACAAGCGACCAACTTTTCTTTCTTCCTTCCCATGTATCAAATTTCGTAGTTTGGGTACCCACTGATGCGTTTTTGAAACTAGCTCACGTGAAGGTAAAGGTCAAAATTGTCGAGGTCCGGTCTCGAAGTTGTCACGGCTACCCTATTGCCTTTGTCGCATTCACATACTTGTCGCCTTTCGGGATTTGACCCGCATAGCTCGTCAGGCTCTGTGACAGCAGTGGGTATTCACATCGTGGTGTCTGATAACTCCCTAGAATGTTGGTGGAGACATCCTCCTGCAGTCAACATACAGCCCATATTCTTATCCTGGGCAGAGAAAGATGAATTCTAGTTGTGCTGACTAGGAGGAGCTCAAGATGAGGTTTTGAACTCTATTGGGCATTTGAATGAGAGAATAAACGCATCCATTACAGTGACATGCTTAGTTGCTCGTGCGTCCGGGCCACTACCTCATCCGCCCATCACAAGGTACAAACTGGTGGCTAGAGCTTCAACCGAAGGTGGCCTTGCTTCTAGTCGCTATCTTAGTTTTAACTTCGTTCGTGATGCGCAATCTTTCAATGGAATAAGGACAGATTAATTTAGATCGAATGTACATACACGTTCAAGCTATCGACCTGAGTGGCAAGTCGCTTTTTGGGAAGCTTTGAGTGCTTATCGGTTCCTCTACCCTCCGATTGTGTAACATGTTCAGTTAATTTGAATTCGCCGAGCGCCGTTGTGCTGATTGACGTGTGTTTGCCAACGGTTCGTAGCTCCCGAGCTCTCCCGCAGACGCCAATCCGCGGAGTGCGACAGTTCCAATAGAGGTTATCTCCTATTTCCGGCCGTCATCTTTTCAACGAACGTACGTCATGGAAGACCTACAGACAGGTTTACACAAAATTGAGCACTGTTTCTGCGCTTCAATGAAGCAGAAATCCCCAGCAATTGGGGGGAACCCTTAACTAGAAGCATCGCACGCTCACCAAACATTCGTAAGTTTCACAGGGGTTTTCTGTCGTAATGTGATTACGGAATTACATCAAAATCCATCTTCGTAGGCCATAACGGAAATTCCCATTCGAAGAATGCTATAGAAACTTGCCCTGCTTAGAAACATATCCGAGCCTGAAATATATCCGCTTCCTTGGCATAAGCTGCATATCTCTATGTGCCGCATTAGGGGCATGCTGAATCACCATCCCCCAAAACACAAGCGCCACCAACTTACGATTGGTGCATAACGTTGATACTTTGGAGTCGAATCAGCCTGTGTGCCTGTCTCTAGATTTCTAATTCCGGACTTTATGGCTTTAACGCGCCCGGGACGGGGGAACAACCGATTTCCGAAAAATGCACGCGAAAGATGTTTAACGGTTCTGTTTGAATTGAGATTATAAATACAACGAAGAAGTATTCGTCAATAAACCCCATAACAGAGGGTAAGCTCCGCACATCATCAATCTTACTCGCAGCAATCCATATACCAATACAGTATCTCACTATGTCTTCCAAGAAGATCATTCTCATCACTGGTAGGTTCTCACTCTGATTCACTCATGAGAAGGTCTCTGGTCACTTGAATCGAGAAGACCATGCGTCAGTCACCGATTAGAATGAGAGTTGACAGAATTCAGGTGCAAACCAGGGCATCGGCTTCGACAGCGCCTGGGCTTTGGTCTCCGCATCCCCAGACAACCACGTCGTCGTCGGCTCCCGAAGCAAGGAGCGGGGCGCTAAGGCCGTAGAAGATCTCCAGGCCCTGAAGCCGGCCGGCACCGTGAGCCTCTTGGAGCTCGACATCACTTCCGATGACTCCATCCAGGCTGCGGTTGAGAAGCTCAGCACCGACTTTGGCGTCCTCGACGTCCTCGTTAACAACGCCGGCATCGTCATCATGCAACCCAAGGATCGCCGTTCCGAGCTGATCGACACCTTCAACACTAACGCAGCTAGCGCATTGCTCCTCACCGAGGCCCTGCTACCGCTACTCAAGAAATCCAAGGACGCGCGAATCATCAACGTCACGAGTGGTCTCGGTTCTCTTCACGAGCGTACGACTCCAGGAGGTGCCTTTTACGACGTTCCCGCCGATGCCTACCGCATCTCCAAGGCGGCCCTGAATATGGCGACGGCCCATATGCTGTGGGCCTACAAGAGCTGGGGCGCGAAAGTTTGGGCCTTCTGCCCTGGCTGGGTCGTCACCAATCTGTCGGGTGAAGGCGACAGGCAGAACAGGATTGATGGAGGCGCCGAAAGTTCGGAAACCAGCGCGCAGGGTATTCTTGAGATTGTTGAGGGCAAGAGAGATGGCGAGGTTGGCAAGTTTCTCCAGAGAAATGGAAAACAGTTCCAGTGGTGATCAGTCCAGGAGTATCATGAGGTGGATATCAAATTATTTGAATGCTAGGATCTCAGGGCTTCCAACTCATCGCTTAATTGATATCTCTGTGGTCCGCATAAGCCCAGGTCCTTTATCATCCTGGAGGATCATGTCCTCGCTTCCAGACCCCCTGCTGCCGTCTTTTCCGTATGGGCTTTGATGTAGGCTACCTACAGTACTGCGCTGTACCTCGGGGGATCCAGCGAAAGTACGACCATGCATCTCGGATTCAACCTGACTGTCATGAACTCTGTAACCTTGGCGGCGTTTCGACGTATTCGTTCCGGTCCGTCTTCGATTCTCGTATAATTCGCCGTGATAGCGGTCGCTCGACGAAATCTTGAGGGCATGACCGACAAGAGGCTTCAAGGATGGTGCGCAAGCCGCAATGATTCCGAGGTTGAGTTGTAAGCTGTGGCAATCAAGTGTTAGTCAGAGCAGATGATAATTTGAGGAGGAAACTGACAATTCCCAGAATTGAATACTTTGGTAACTTTGGAGTTGTCAGTTGGGAACGCTTGCGAGGTGATAGCAATAAGCGACTTACAAAGTCTTGTCCATGTCTTTCCCGTAGGCTATTTGGTAGACTGACTTGATAACACCCATAGCTACCGCACTATGGACAATTAGTAAAGAAAGCAATACCGCAGTTGGGGTTCAACATACACGTAACCGAGACTGAGAACGATGATGAGATATATTCATGTCCTCAGTTTCATCTGCAGCGTCCAAATGATGCTCACAGGAAGCGTATGTTGTTGTTGTTGTTGTTGTATTTAACGCCGTGGCGGCCGGGCTAGAGCCCTTACCGCAGACCTCCCGAAGGGTATATGGCGTGGAGGGCCGTGAGCCAAGGCTACCTACTCTACAGTACGTCGTCTCTTTACATCGTCCTCCAAATCATGCCTTGTGGCCACTACGCGTTCTGTCTGTCCCCGGTTCCCGCTGGTGCCCCAGTTTCATTCTTTCCCAAATCGTCCCTTGGAATCGGGAGGTTCTTTGTAGTCCGCACTCACATCTACCTAGGTGTGGATGCTGCTACCGCAGACAGATCTTCTGGAAGAAGTCCGTCACGCGGAGAAAGGCCTCGAAGCCTCGTGGGTCGGTGATTAATCTCTTGAAGTAGGCCTCGAGAGATCCCATAGGACCTATGGGCTCGGGCATACTGCGAGAGTGGAGGGTCGGCCACCGTTGCCTCCTCGCCAGCGTTAGTCGACAGTAGACCAGGTGGTCCACGTCTTTCGCCTCTCCACAAGAGCACATCATTAGAGCGTCGTCGTGGTTGAAACGTCGGTGATATTGCTCGAAGTCCCCGTGACCCGATCGTGCCGCCAGCAGGTGATGTAACGTAGCCCGCGGCAAGGCCAGTTCAGGAGGGCTGGACAGAGCTGCCTCAAGCCCCAAGTCCGCGTACCGCGGCCTTCGCTCTTTATACCACCATCTCCTGTGCTGGCTTTGTAATTTTTCCCTTGCAAGCCGCTTGATGCCCGCTAGTGTTGCCATTTGACCCATCCGCGCCGGCAGTGTCGTTCCTTCTTTGGCCAGCCGGTCCGCGGCCTCGTTTCCTTCGATGCCCTGGTGTCCCGGGGACCAGTGCGTCCGTATATCAAATATCCTGGCCGCTTCTTGGATTTCGAGGAACGCGTCTTGTGACGAGTCCGGCGCCTTGCCGCGGATGCCTTGTATAACGCTGGTGTTGTCGATACATATGTGGATTGGATGACCGCGATTGGTGAGCAGAGCCCTTCTGAGGCCGGTTCGCGCCCCTTCGACCTCGGCGTCGAACACTTCTGCTAGTCCGAGTCGGCCGCACCCTTGCGCTATGCGTTTGGAGTCTCGGTAGATGACGAAGCCGTACCCCACGGCTCCGTTCGTCGCCCTGGAGCCGTCCGAGAAGACGATCATATGGCTTTCCGGTACTGTCTTTAGCCAGCGCTCGAAAGCTTTCGCAGCCTCTTCTTTGCATTGAACTACTATCTGATCCTGTGAGCTTGGCAGGTACTGTGATTGGAGGAACGTTGGTCTTCCGCATCTTGGCAGAAGTTCAGCCGTCCGTTGTAGTCTCGTCTGTTGCTGTCCCTGCTGGGAGAGCCGCGCGACTAGCGGGTGTCGGCGATCAATCCTCTGTAGTCGGACTGCGGCCCGTAAACGGACGCCTTCTAAGGCGACTTTGGCTGACGGTAAGCCGGCGTCTCGGAGGAGGCTACTGGTTGGCGTTGTCCTCCAGACAGGTAGAACGATCCTTGCTGCCGCTGTAATGACGCTGTCGATCTTCTGCACGAGCCCCTTCTGGCCTGTGTTGACGGGTCTTCCTTGGAAAGGCGGACTCGTGTCTGTCTCCGCTTGGCGTCTCGAAGCCGGCTTCGTGATACCTGCGTACCATGTTTCGGCGCCGAAGAGCGCGATCGGCAGTACGTAGGAGACGACGGCTTTTCGCACGGCGGCCGCTGGCAGTCCTCTCTTTGTGTTTGTAAGCTGCCTCAGGTGTTGAGCTGCCTTCTTTGCCGCAGCTACTCTTGTGTCGACGTGGTGCCGGAAGGACAGTCTCTTGTCGAACCAGACACCCAGCCAGCGTACAGGATTTGTCGAGGCCTTGACCACCAAATCCCCCGCCCTGACCTCTGGCAGCTCCGCTGGCTGGCTGTGCTTCCTAGTAAAGTGGATGACCTCGCACTTGCTCGGGTCGAAGGAGACCTTGTTCTCCGAGCCCCATCTGAGAATGCCGGCTGCGCTTCGGTTGAGTATTGCGACGTTGCTCTCCAGGGAGGGGCTGATGGCCAGAGTGGCGATGTCGTCCGCGTACCCGAATCGCGCGTCCGGGTCGTCTTCAAGGATCTCCGCGATGTAGAGCAGAAAGACGATGGGAGATAGTGGCGACCCCTGAGGCAGCCCGCATGACAGAGGAAAGTATTCCGTCGTGCTTTCTTCCAGTCGGACTCTGGCGATGCGGTTGCAGCAGAAGCTGAAGATGAGTCTAATCAAGCCGTGTGGCCATCCCTGCTGACGCAGTCTAATGACGAGCCGGTTCCGAAGGACGGAGTCGAACGCCCCTTTTACGTCCATAGTCAGAAGCGTCGCCGTGAGCCCTTTTAGGAGGGCCGTTTCGATATCGTGGGCGAGGCAGGTCGTCAGATCGACGGCTGACCTGCCTTGTAGAGCTCCGATCTGTTGCGGACTGACGATGCGCTCGACAATCGCCAGAGAAGCCATCCTTCTGGCTATTAGTCTCTCGAGTCCTTTGCCCAAGCACGAGAGGAGCGCGATCGGCCGCCAGGACCCGGGCTTGGAGGCATCCCTGCCGGCCTTCTGGATCATGACCACCTCAGCTCTGCGGAAAGGCAGAGGAAAGTGGCCGGCCCGCATACAGGACTGGAATAGCTGCCTGACCGGCTCCGAGATGACGCCCCAGCAGGCCTGGAGGAGGCGCGTGGTGATCCCGTCCACACCAGGGGTCGTTGTCTTTGTTAAGGTGGCCGTCTTCACTTCTTCTCCGCTAACATTGTCCTGCCAAGTAATCGCTCGCCTTGGGACGACGGGTACGTCAAACGGATTACCCGGTGCGTCATCTTCCGCACTAAACCTGTCGAGAAGGGCTTCCCGAAGCGCTTGGGCCTTTTCGTCAGTATCCTCGATCGTCTGGTTGTCCACAACCAATGGGGGTGCTCTGGTCAGTGGGCTCGCCTTCCGCCAACCCATGATCTGGTACAGGTCCCGGTCTGAAGCGACTCCATCGATCTTTCCGGCCCAGTATGCTCGCTTAGCCTTCCTCACCGTGCTCAGGAACGCCTTTCGTTTCTCCATTAGATAAAGGTGCGCATCTTGCTCCGTCTCCCAGGCTTGTTGGTTGCGGGCAGCACGGTATGCTCTGTGGGCCTCTGCGCATTCCTCCGTCCACCAAGCCGCGCCTTTACCATGTTTTCCTCTCTTCTTGCCGACCGCCTCAATGGCTCGGGAGAAGAGCTCGACGATGTGACTTGCCTGCCCGTCCAGGTCTTCCGGAGTAGGTTGATCCCCCAGATTGGGCATCGCAGCTAGCCCCCCTTCGATCAGGTCTCTCAGCCGAGGCAGCGCCGAGTCGGGCACTGACAGTGGCCGTGGCTGCGGGTGGCCCTCTCCCTGTGACACTGGGCGTTTGAATAGTGGTATGACGGCCACGATGGCCTCGTGGTCAGCTCCCGGGTGTAGCTGTGGGCTGACCTGCGCGTGCGCAAAAGGGATATTAGAGAAAGCCAGGTCCAGGACATGTCCGCAATCCTGGGTTGCCACCCCAACTTCGCTGATAAGAGAGAGATTGTGGCCGTCTGCCCAGCCTGCAATGTCATCTCCCCGGTTCCCGTTCCTCGTCCCGGGCTCCCAAGAGTAGTGATGCGCGTTGAAGTCACCCGCGATCAAAGCTCGCTCCGGGGGTTTGAGTTCTAGCAGTATCCCTGTTGTGCGGCTGTGGGGGTCGCGGGGTTGTCTGTACACGTTGACGATAGTCGTCGTTTTGTCGACCACCAGCCACAGTACGTCTCTCGTGTGGACAGGCCTCTGCTGCTCCACCGTCATCCCTATCCCTTTGCGTGTGTAGGTCAATACTCTTGGTCTGGTTCCTTCGCTGTCCCAGAAGTCGACCGGGACGAAAGAGTCGAAACCCGGGTGCGTGTTCAGTTGCACGTTTCCGTCCTTCCAGCCCGTCCAGGGTTCCTGGACGAGGACCACATCTATCTGAGCCTCCCAGCAGAGCTGCAGGAAAGCCGTGTGCGCCGGGGAGATCTTTCCGACGTTGCCCTGCGCAACGCGTAGCATCCGTGGGGTCGCCGCTCTCGGCTTACGTCTCCGAGTCGAGTTCGAGGTGGGTGTAGGCATTCGCGACGTTGTAGTTTGGCTTCTGTGCTGCCCGTTGGCTCCTGCTTGGCATGGGTAGCACGGGACGGTCGATGGAGGTGTTGTCGGGGGAGTCTTCGCCTTCGCCTTCGTCCGCCTCGTCTTCATCCATGCTGCTGCTGTCAGTGCTTCCGTCACCGAGGCAAACGATCGAGCTTGCGGAGGGCGTTCTCGTGCGCGCGCGCTTGGCGCCGGGTTGCTGGTTCTGGCTGGTGGAGGTAGGGACGCCTGCCGCCTCCTGGCTACTGTCGGATCGAGTAGCCTTGTACAGAGTGTCCGATGCTTTCTGGCCGGCCTTCCGGATCCGAGCCCGCTCCTTTCGACCGGGAAGGGAGACGACGCCGTTTACGACCGAGGGCCTCGCTGGGCAGTCTGTGTGGCCGGCTTGGAAGGGGCCGCAGCAGTTGGGACACTGGGGCCTGGCCATGCAAGGTCCCGTTTCGTGTGAGTCGGAAGGTCTTCCGCAGTTGCTGCAAGTCGGTCGTCGTCCGCAGAACCGGTTGGCGTGGTAGCCCTGGCAGCCGGGGTCATGTCGGATGAGCGTCCTTCGTTTTTTGATGGGCAGAGATCTGCCGCTTTGGTTGAAGAGCCTGAAGGGCGTGACCTCTGATGTGAATGATATGAGCCAAGATATTTCGTTCGTGACTGGGTTGGGCCCAAGGCGGGACGGTCGAGCAAGGACAGGCTTCTGTCCTGTCTGTGCGAAGACCTCATCTTCAACGAGTGTGGCTGGGTCCAGGACGTCCCCGCCAATGCTGTGTAGTTTTGTTGGGCATCGCGGCACAACGTATGTGTGCCACTTGATAGGCGTCTCGACTTGGTGGGCGCCGAGGCATTCCGCCAGCTTTGCCTTACTTGTAAGTAGTCTTTCCTGTATTTGCTTGTTTCGCGGCTTCAGAGAGTAACCTGTGCTGATATGGTAGACGTGGGGAAGGTCCGCTAGCCCCAGGCCAACGGCCTTACAGACGATCTGTCGTACGGCGAACGGTGCGATCTTCCGAGCGGCCGCTAAGCTTTCTTCCGGGACGCGGGCAAAGATGCGGAGGTCCTCCTTCGGCTGCGCCTGCGGCTGATCCTCGGCGGGGAGTGTGGCCTTCGGGCGGGCAGAGCTCTGGCAGCTCTGGCCGCTCCGGGTCGCCGCAGTGGTGTTGCCCGCCATCGGTGCGACGACAGCCGCCCAACTCCGGGCCGCTATTGGGCTTGTCTCGTGATTGATCAGTCTCTTGAGGGTTTGAATGACATAGGCAGTGGCTTCTTTCGCGATCTGCTTTCTAGAACCGTCAAAGCTGGCGACAACGCTGTCGACGGACCGTGCAATGGTCAGAAAGACGTCTTTCCGTGCCTCGTACTGTCTAGCTTCTTCTGCAAGGGCTGTCAAGACGGACCCTGTGGCAGATCCGCTCGGAGCAGATGCGGTAGAGGCTGCGGGCCCCTCGGCCGAGGTAGGGGCGTCGGTGGTGGCATCAAGCTGGCTTCCCGTTAGGCTGGGCCGGGTCGGCTGTGCCTCGGCGTCGCGGCGTCGCTTAGCTCTTGAGGTGGGGTTCGGCTCCGGAGGTGTCCCGGAGCCTGGTTCGGGGTCGGCTTGGTCGGCCGACATCAGTCCGGTGCCCGACGGCGGCTGTGAGGCCATCGCGGATGCGGGCTCCGGCAAGGGGAGGTGAAGAGTTTTCGGCTGTTAGTAATTTGGTGGTAGGCTCACTCATTCACTAACAGCAGATGCCAAGAAAAATTAGGCGAGAGGGAAGTTGCTCACAGGAAGCGTAGCGAAGCATACATCAGTGGAGATGTTGAAGGCAGTGTTGATCAAGCCGAATTTGATGAAGAGAGTGATTGGATAACATTTGGGTTTCAAACTCTTGTCCCAATAGCCTTCCAGTGGTTGACAGTAGAAGAAGAACGTCATCCAGGCCATAAAACTATAGGCAGACACAAATACTGATTGCAGTCAGAAAATAATCATGCGTGTCTACCAGTGTCTGATCATTCACAGCTCAAGGTAGTCGATACTTACCAATTAATGCCCAAATAGATCTCGAGTACCAGATACCATTACTGAGCCGGAGGAGTGAGAGGCCAATCGATACTTTCAGCAACGCCAAACCAGCGATGGAAGATATGATTGACTGGAAGAAGCTTGACTTTCTCATGATGACTATATTCTCGGCAGGGATGGTGAGTGTGTGCTTCCCGAGACCGTAAAAGGATTGCACTGAAAAGATTGTCATCCCTGCCACGGCACATGACTTCCAAAATCAATATTTCTCAGCTCTGGAGACTAAAATCGACCCAAGCAGACGTACCGCTGATGCAATGGCGACGTAGTCGTCTCTCCCCATAAGCTTGACGATGGCGGCACGGGTGTACACGCGAAGGCCAACGAAAAGCAGAGCAAGAGCGTGGAAGCCGCCGGTTACACCGACAATCATGGCGGTATTGCTCTCCTTGGCCCATTCCGGGTCAAGGGGTGTGGTAGGTGGGGGAGCTGAAGACATTATGGCCGATTATAGCTGAACAAGACGTACATTGAGACCAGGCAAATGAAAAAGCAATACATAGATGATAGAGAGATATTTTGCCCGCATGGAAGAGCGAGTCATAAGTTCATATCATGAATGTTTACATGCAGCATGTTACAAAAAGCCTGCCATTTGTGAACGCAGGAAGCAAAGCAGGATCCAAAAGCGTGCCACGGCCGTCTTACACCAAGCATTGGTGCGGGAAGTTGGAACTGAATCAATGCGAGTTGCTCGTTCAGTCACGTTCCATTCGCTTTAGGTGTCAAGTGGGTTTGCAGTCCACCTGCCTCTTCAGAGTGTAGAATTTTCGTAAGCATGGCTCTGGTGTGGCGAGCTCACTCCTGCAGCTGTCTTCATCGAGAATCAGGCATCCGGTGGGATGGAACCTGCACTGTTTTCAGTCAACTGCTTAGCTGCGGCACAGAAAGGTGTGCCGCCCCCGGCCATCCAAGTCCTCCGGGCATTTAATTCCCCCTGAATGAGTGAGACGTATAGGATTCTGGTGGATTGAGTTGAGTTGCGGTAGAAATGGTGAGTGAGCCTGAAGACTCTTGAAGTTCTTCACTTATTTTTTCTCACATCGTTTTCTTCAACTTCGATGACAGCACGTACACTTTGGTGAATTTGTCTCCGAGCAAAACATCATCGAAAAAAGTCCGATCTGATTTAGAAATAAATTCAAAGTGGTGCTCGTTACCGATGTGTTCTTCGTCAACTTGCTGGGATCAGTGGCGAGATTATGTCGAAAAACCAATCTCTCAGGCTGGGCTGTGAGGATTCATTGCCTTCAACAAGTATTACAGCCTTGGCTGCATGTATGGCTGCCTACACTCTATGTCGCCAGGTCTTTTGAAATCCACCCAGGCCGGCCCATGTCAGTCGTCGGCCTCTCGGTCAACAAGAAGTACGATATCATTTCCCCATGTGATGTACGAATGTCCGAAAGATCAGGGGAGCTCAATTTGGCAAAAAATTGATTTGAGGCGAGAGACGCAATCTCTCCACCGTGAAAAGTCTCTTTGAGGTAAATAAACCGCGTTAGATGATCTTTCCCCCAGTGCCTGCGGGTAAAGGCCTTCATGTGAGTGATTCTCTAGCAAATGCGGGATGTTAGTCGAGCCAGGGCATTGCACGCTTAGGGGCCAAGGGTTAACGAACGAAGGAGCCTCATCATTCGTCGACAGCCTTCAACCGCAGCCGCAACCGCAGCCATATCTGATCCTGGCGCACTAGATCCATGCTCGGTGGTGTGATACGAGCCGTTGTAGGGCATGTTCCCCGAACTCCCCTAGCGTGCCCGTTGGAACTAACATCTAATGTTGACAGCCTGTGGAGCCCCTGCATGGGTTGGAACGCTGGAGCTAACAAGATGTGACATTCTGACGAGCGGGGGCGGGGGCTTTGTTGCAAATTGCAGATTTGCAAGTTGCAATACATCTTGGAAGCTTCCTTAGTTCAGCGGTCCCTGGTATGGACTGATTTGCATATTCAGAACTTTGAAAGCTTGTGCTTCAGCCTCCAAAGCCTTCTTCGTACGCCCGAACTGGGTCAAGTGTATGTGGGCCGTGGGGGGGTTTAAGGCAATGGCGTGCCCGACTTCTTGCATGCGATTGGATGGGTGAGATTGGTATTCCGAAGTCAGGAACACTTACTGTAGACGAGCGAGGTTGAAGGAAAGGCCTACACAAGGTGAGAATCTCTCCAGATTCAAGGGCAGAGACTAGCTATACTCACTCACGTGCAGCCTTTCCCGGCTAAAGAGCTCCAAGTAACTAAAGTCATCTCAGAATGTTGCCCTTTATCTCCTTCTGCAATCCCACGTTCCATTCTCCAGGCGGCTCGTTGATCGAGTATTGATCTCAGACCCCACCATATCAAGAAGCGGGCTTGATCCCAAGGGGCAGGGGTCAGTAACGAGGACGACTTGCCTAGTTCAGATATCAACACCGAAGTGCCGAGAAAGCGTAGGCCTTCCAACATCCACGGGCAAGTTGTTGACCAACACATGAGTAACTCTACGAATCTAGTCAATTGTGGCGATGAATACGCTTGCCAAGTCGACTGGTATCAATATGTTGAAATTACATTCGGCAGTGATGGGAATGCTTCACCGGTGGGAGCATGCCTCGGTGTATATAGAAGCCACCCACATTCTCGAATGCCACGTTTCTCTGTTTCTTTTGCTCACCTTCCTCGCTCCGCTGCCCTTGCAGATCCCTTCCCCCTCCTAAAGCGGAAGCTTGCATCTGGAACCCCCTTTCATCAAAAGCAGACTTTAGCCGATTACGATGATTCCCGTCAAGATCACAGCCGTCCTGAGCTTGGCAGTCGTCGCATGTGGCGCCCCCCTCGACACCCCTCTCGAGGCTCGTGACGCTGGAGATGTGCTCGCAGACCTGCAAGCCCAGGCCATGGAGAATTTGAAGGCGGCTGAGGCCAATGGGACCATTTCTAAGCGTGGTTGCAACCTCTTCAACGCCAGTGTTCGCAGGGATTGGTAGGCTCTTTGCTCTATCTTGTCTCATAATGTTTTCGAGGCCTTTCCTGTGAGACGGAGTGGCTAGCCCTAGTACACACATCTAACATCTTGGTTCAGGGCTGCTTTCTCTACCACGGAGCGCAAGGAGTACATCAGTGCCGTCCAGTGCATGTTGACGTCTCCTTCCAAGTCCGACCCATCCTTCGCACCAGGAGCCCGTAACCGATATGACGACTTTGTTGCCGTCCATATCAACCAAACTCGGACCATTCATGGCACAGGCAACTTCTTGACATGGCATCGGTACTTTACCTGGGCGTATGAGAATGCTTTAAAGACCGAGTGTGGTTACAAGGGGGCCCAGCCCTACTGGAACTGGTTCGCTCACACCGATGATCCGCGCAAGTCACCAGTTTACGATGGGAGCGATACCAGCCTGAGTGGTGATGGTGCCTTCATTGCTCATAATGGTAGCGTGAGTGCTTCGCCATATGGCGAGATCGCAGTACCGTCTGGTAATGGCGGTGGTTGTGTGATGAGCGGTCCTCTTGTGAAGTAAGTGACATCCTTACCTTCATGAGAGGGTTCATCTGACAGGATACAGCATGACTGTCAACCTTGGTCCAGTATCTCCCGGTATGAATGGTTTGGACCCCAACCCCCATGGCCCCATGGAGTACAACCCACGTTGCCTGCGCCGCGACTTGAGCTCCTACGCAGCGTCTACTTGGTTGACGACCCCTAACCTGCTCAACGTCACCGTTGGCCAAGCTTCTAAGAATATTTCAACATTTCAGAATGAGCTCCAGGGACGCTTCTGGGATGGCTTCTTGGGTATGTTCAACGAATCCCTGAGATAGCTACAGTTGAGACTAATACTTCGAATGTAGGCATGCACGCTTCAGGCCATTTCGTCGCAAACGGAGATGCTAGTGATCTATACTCCTCCCCGACCGATCCGACCTTCTTCCTCCATCACGCCATGGTCGACCGCGTTTACTGGATTTGGCAAGCCCTTCACCTCTGGGAGGCTTTTGAGATTGCTGGGACCATCACGATTCTCAACCTGCCACCGAGCCGTGACGCCACGAAGGAGGACATAGTTGAGATGGGCGTTTTGGCGCAAGATCGCCCTATCAAAGAGCTACTGAGCACTGCTGACGACACTCCCTTCTGCTACATCTATCTATGAAAGCATGAGGGACAATCATTCTTAAATTTCTGAGGAGTGCACGCGCACCTAGGGTGCCTGTGGTTAAATCAGAGTAATGAGGGCTATAATGCAAAATATCCTTGATGAAACAGGCTTTGGGTCATGTGCTCAACCAAGGAAATCATCAATGATCCTCAGTGAGGATTCTAATTCGTGTAGATCGTTTCAATCCAAAACTCTGAGCCAGGATTTGTGCCTGCACGTAAGCATACTAGAGTTGTCTGTGCTGTTGCTTGTGAAGCCGAGCTGAGATATCATCGTAGTTTACTTGAGAAATGTCAGACGCAACTTGATCGGACTTCTGAAAACTCCTCAACTTCTTTCCTGAACATCTGCCAGTTTATGCCTCCCTAGTTTGCTGATGGATCCAGATGAGATCAAATCCGACCAGGGCTATGGCGTGACGAGCTTTCGGAAAGATATCGGGAAATCACCCTTGCCTAGCAGCAACATGGTCAGCGTTATCATTTTCAAGTTTCCACTTTCTTGCCTGAAATGCGTAGCATTGGAAAGTGGATGGGAGATTCCTACGCGGCTCTCAAGGACATCGGGGCTGCTGTTCGCAAAATCGCATCCACTTGGCGCGTTGTACCATCAAGACCTGCCATAGCGCAATGCCGTTATCGCGCTGATGATTCGGGTTGAAAAGGATTTGAAGAGGCTTTGAAAAACAAAGCACATGTCTTGAAGATGCCTCCTTGAGTTATCAGCTCAATACGTATTCTGTTCCTCAAGTGCGACGAGATCTCTTAATATGTCTGGAGTCAGCCCTCGGGCGTTGAAGCCCAAAAGCAAAGTCCACGATATTTTCCGCGGAACGATATTCCAAGCTGTCTTGCTGGGTCTCATCAGCTTCACTCAACCCGGAATATGGACGGCAATGAACAGTAAGCTGATTGAATGCGTTACTATTACCGCGATATGTAATTGCTGATCAATCTCTTCAGATTTGGGCGCCGGTGGTCAAGCTGAGCCATACATCATCAACGCTGTGAACGTCATCACATTCGTGTGAGTTGCTCTCTCTCGACTTAAGTCTTTCCGAATGTTCAGGGATATCGTGTTCGTGTTGCTAATGGCTTAGTATCATGATTGTGCTGTCACCACTGGCGAGTATGATCGGGAACTTGATTGGCATGAAGTGGATTGTCGTCATCGGAACGTTGGGCTATGTACCGTACTCCGCGGCGCTCTATTGCAACTCGATTTGGGGAACGCAGTGGTTTCTGATCTTTGGTGCTGTCACGTGTGGAATTTCAGTGGGTTTCCTATCATCGCACTGGT